CAATTTGATTTAAATTATCCTTCACAATTAAATCAAATAATAAGTCAAGAGCAATCTGAAGAATCAATAAATGAAATAAATCTTTCAACTAACATATCATTTATTGAAAAATTCAAAATAATTATTTGTTTATTATGTGCAATTATTATACTTGTAATATTTGTTATTGGAGAGATTTTTCAAGACACTTTAAATGATGAAAAATGTTTTGCTTTGGTTGCTATTAGAGTTATAATGATTATTATTGGAATTGTTTTGAATGTTTTATTTTGTTCTACAACAAATTCTAGACGTTTTAGTCGGATTAAAGAACAAATTGAAATTGAGTCAACAAACTATTCTGATCAATCAATCGATTGGAATATTAATAAAATAAAAAATTTCTCAAAATTTAATCGAAAAGATTCTTTCAATTTTATTGATTATAATGTAAGATATTTTTATCTATTTATGCTCTTTGTGTTTCCCAGAGAGAAGAGGAAAGAGAAGTTAATCAATTCTTGATAAGATATAGCTCCTATGACCTTCTATACATAAAGATGACATCAAAGATTCCACCGAATTCTTCATAATGATGATCTTCCAAAATATGAAAGTATTGAATTTAATCAAAATGATGTTGATTATCATTCAACATCAAATGAAGAAGAACAAGAACAAATTTCTCCTCCATCATATTCCAGTCTCTGTACATAATTTTGTTCTAAATGTCAAACAACAAGAAAAAGATTCTTTCCATAAATCTTGTTTATCATGTCATCAAATATTTGATCGAGACCAAGGACATCTGAAATCTAATCATTTTCCAAACGTGTTACACTGGAAATTAAATAACAATTAACTTTCGATTTTCTAAAGAATTATTTTTGTTTAAATTATTAGATAAAACTTTTAAATTCAATGTCACGATTAATATTTGAACTTGTTCACTAACGAGAAACGTCTTCCACGAGTACGGGCAAAGTTTGACAATAATACGTTATGTATATGAAGAAAAATAATGTTCTATAGGAAGAATTTGATATCTAAATTGTTGTGCTAATCGTCGTCATACAGTAAGCATGTACCGACACAAACAAGAAATAGATTTATTATCTTTCCATAAAGAAAGTCATTAACCGACTAAGATGTTTTGCCGTTTGTCTTGATTGAGTCATTTAATGAATGTCATTGACAAAGAATATTGTATATACGCATAACGATAGATAATTTGTTTGTCACTAACATAAGACAACAGAACAAGAAAAGATTATTAGGGAGCTAGACAATATACATAATATATCATATCGACATGCCCGTTGATGTACAATAAGACCTTGTAAGATTAATTATTTTTTGTTTTCTTTTTTTTGTACAATATGATTTTTTATGAGTATTCCAGTGTTAAAGTTCAATATGAAATCTATTGTAATTTTCAGAATATAAATCACATTCGGATTGTACTGAAAGCTGTTATAGGGTTAAAAATGAGAATAAGAATGTAAATAGATAAGAAACGTGATTTTAGTTGCTACATATCGCAGAATCATAAGTTTATTCGAACTGAAAATCATTCCGTCGATAATAATTCTATAGATTTCGATAAATTTCAGATTATTTTCTGTGTTCTCTCAATGAAAAAATTCAGAAAATAATTTTTTCCTTACCGTCAATTTTGTTTGTTTGATCTAGAGGTTATGGGTTCACTAAACAATTTGTTAATTTCGTTATTGGAAGGACTAAAGTTTAGCTTATTTTTGTCATTTTATTCGAAATAGAAAATATGTCTGATTTCTAAAGATTGAACATAATATATGCTGTAGAGGAGAGAGTTTCATAAATATTAGCAATACGAAATGAATATGTCCAAGTTGTATTTTATTCGAATATATATATTGAAGAATGTTTTAGATAGTGACACTTATATTCATAATCATATGTTGGTCTCTTTCGTATTTCTTCTTGCAATCATTTTCCATCGTTCGAGCTGTCAATACGATCGTAATAATGCTGCGGCAGGTATTAAATTGTCTGCCAATGATCAACTACTCGTCTCAGCATCCAATGCCTTCTTCAATTTTGGTGTTGTCATTAATCCGTTTAATAGTTCAAGAACGGATGTACGTAAACATTGCAATGTAAAATATCTGTCGACTGATCATTTTGTTCACAGTGTTCGTGTTATTGGTGCAGCTAACAATGGAACTAATCGTGAACTGTTCATGTTCGCTTTTGCGGGTGAAATTACAACGGTATCGACACTATTTATTTGTCTTGTTACCGTCTCACGATCGACATGTGAAGCACAACGTCAAATGACAATTTTACAAAGTGCAGATAAGCCGCAAAATTATTTTCTAATCGGTGTCGATTCTCATGCAACCTTTATTTACGGCTTCACTGATACCATAGCATTCAAACTCGAGATCGCTACTAATCAAATTGTCCAGAATCTAACACTAGAAGCACTCTGGCCATCGATTATATTTATTCCTCATGCACTTGATCTAGGTGTTGAATGGGCGGTAGTGGTTGGGTATGGTTTTAATCGAAGCGAGAAAAAGAATTATGCTATTATGGAATGTTTTATTGATCTTATTTCGTTTATAAGTCGCTCGTGTCAAACGCTTATTATCGAAAGTACTTATTTAGTACCATCTAATCTTCTTTCGTACAACGAATTCTATGAAGTGTCAGTCGCTATTCGAAATGAAAACGTACTCGTCGGTATTCATCGTCTTAATACAATCGTAATATTGCAAAAGAATGAAACGTCATTAATAAAAACACATGTATATACTGTGACTTCATCGAGCTTGTCTTCATTCGGACGTTTGGTAGGATGGGTGGACGAACAGACTATAGCCGTAGTAGCTTATCATAGTTTTCACACATCGTGGTCACAATCACAGATATTTTTCTATGACAAAAACTTAGTTTCGTCCACTTCTCCACTCTATACATTTCCGAATAATCAACAAGTAATTGGTAGTAAATTACTTCAACCGCATTTTGTTCGTTTGATCATTACTAATAATGGAAATTTAGCTCTATTAACTGATTTTAGTCATGTTATAGTTTTGCCAATGGCTCCTATTAATTATGCTTCAGTATGGATCGAGCCGTCGGCTAGAACATTCGTATTCTATTACTCACCTATGACTTGTATCGGTGGTACGTTCAAAAATGAATCCGGTCTAGGTCCTTGTACAGTCTGTTTACCTGGAACTCGAAATCCCGGTATAGCATGCTTTGCAGGGACTTCGTGTATTCCTTGTTCTCGAAACAGCTCGAACTCGTACTGTTCACTTGCATCTCTCGTCGAATTTGATTTAAACACGATGCCATCCTATAGTCAAATAACGGCTTATCCAGTATCAGCCGATACGACTAATTTCGATGATATTCTCTTGGAGAACATGTTTCATATAGATCTAAGTTCTTCATGTTTGATTATTTCGCCTTTTTTCTGGACGTTAGTTGCTGGTGCTTTTGCTTTTTCTGTTTGGATAATAATGACAGTAATAAAACTAGGCAAATGGAAACAGTATAATCGCTATCGAACACAAGTAAAAACGATCTTTACGCGTACAGATCTCATTAGTGAAGGACAACTTTGGGTCGGCGGATTAGCTACTATGGCTATTATTGTTCTCGTTTCATTTGCCTATTGGTTTTCTATATCGTTTCTCAAACGTTATCCAATCGAAGAAATCTTTGAACCAGCAAACTTTGCTTGTGACTCAACGTTGATCAATGCAAAATTTACTACAGGTCTTGATCTACTCGCAATACCAAAATCGATCGATGCTCAGCGAATCATTACTCTTCTCGATAATCAAATTTTTAACATCACAGTTGAACTCATTAATACCGGTTTTACTTGTGATAATATCACAGTTCAAGAAAATTTAATTGGAACACACTATGCTGACTTAATAATACCGTCATGTGAACGTTCAGAATGGAATGCTGTAACGTCAGTAACTTTCACTCTACCCTATCATTACTCATCTGTACAACTCAATATGACAGGTCCTCATTGGGCGAGTGCTGTTCGTATATGTCTTCGAGGTGAGAGTCAAACAATGATGAACAGTATGTTACATGCATTAGATTTCTGCCAATTGTTTTCAGCAGAGAATCAAACATTAGCTCATGCATCTACAATTCCATTTATATTGATGAAAATTATTAATATAACAAAAAGTATGGAAAAATCTCATTCGACTACTTATTCTGGTTTGTGGCTATCGTCCGTACACGGTGCATTATTATCTAATGAGGCGTTCTACGCTGAGTTCGGCAACTATTTACGATATACATTTGCATTGACTACTATTCGTATTACGTTTGAAGAACGTTCATTCTATATTAAAAATATTCAAGAACCCATCGTACGAACACGACAAACTGTCTTTCAAGCGTTATTATTCACTTCATTGGTTATTGAATTATTTGGCTTTTCATTTCTCTTAACTAAACTTTTCGTCTTGCCAATTATGCGACGAATGGTAACTATGTGTCAGAAATATCGTAATCGAATTCAAAACCATCAAAACGATGTCCCTGTCCAACATACACGATCATCACAACATGCTAGCAGAAGTTCTGTTTATGTTAATCTAGAACTTGAAAGATGGCCCAAGGTCGAATGTACACCATCGAATCAATTTCAATCAAATCAAATTGACGATATTGAAATCGATTGCATATCGCTTGAAGCAAGGCGTCACATGTATCTTCCAAACCGTCCATGTAAATATGTTTTGACCCGACGAGCATCTGAACCACGACTAGTTTGCTTAGAAGATCCAAAGAACGAACTCGATGATTGCCATGGAAATATTATTCCATCTAGATGCAGTTTCGTTGAGGAAAATGTCTGAACACGTCAAGACTCACTCTTATTTCAAATTGCCAACGTTGCTGAAATATTTTTTTTTCGTCGAATCGTATTCATAAAAGTTAAGAGTGTATGTGAATAATAAATAGTTACACTCACACTATTTTTCTATCAAAATAAAATGTAAAATACTTGCGAAAACTCTTCTATCGTGAAAAAGAAATTATGATAAGAATAGTTTTGAATATGTGCTTTTTAATAATTGAAATTAATGTTGTATTGTTGAATTATTTCCGAAGAGCAATAATTAATGTAAGCAGTCTACTTATACTAATGGGTCGCGCATAATAAAGGGATCTCTCAGTATTTTGCAGTCATTTCACTAATATTTCAATACAAAAGAAAAGTTTATTTTAGAAAAATATTCGTCGTAAAATTTTCTATAAAATGCAGTTGTTTTTATTATCTTAAATAATCTCTATTATTTTGTGACATACAATACAATTGCTTATAGTTCAAGAATTATAACTTTCAAAAGCAATATTTTATCGAATTTTTTTATTGCATGTCTTTATTCAGATATGTATCTAAATACAACAGATTCATACTTGATGTGTATTCAATTGACAGCAAATCTAAGCAAAATTGGTTTAATCATCTATTTATTTACTTACTTCAAGTAAGTCTTTCAAATGTGTTCATTTGTTACAATAATCTGAATGAACAACGTATGCATTTTATTGATTTCTTCTCTTCTATTTCAATGTAACTTACATTGTGTAAATCACCTTCGAGACTACATAAGATATATTTGACATATGCTCTTAGGTACAGAATAAGCGAATACAATTCAATAAAAAATAATCTGAGCTAACTAATTTAAAGTTTCTTACATTAACAGCGAATGCTTATACTACTATAATACATGAATTTCTTATTCAGTCTTCAGTTCTATTTAACTTAACCGCTACCATTTTTCTTAACTATTAACTTTTTCTAAAACAGTTGTAAGTCCTACATTGCCATATATATGTTTGGATTGAAGTAGAATCGAATCTTAATCAATTATTGAATATGAACTTTATTCTGGTTAAATTAGTCGGTTTGATGACACGTACTTTTTCATATGCAACTATACAGTGTATGCCTGTTTTATTATGTTTCGACATTTTTATTTATTCCTCTTGTATATCTGTCACTTGTCGTCTACAACTTCAATCGTCATTTTTTATTATTCTTCAAACCATTAAAAGTTATCGTTAGTACTGAGCTGTAGCTGTTTCATATTCATCATTAATGGAATACAATATTTCATGAGACATTGGATAATAGTTTAGTTAAATTTATTCAAACACCATTTCATATATAGTTTTAAAATCAAAATAAAAGGGAACTACATAAAAAATTTTCTCTCCCATCACCTTCTTATATAGTTAAGATGAATATTAATGTAAACACTCTCATACAAAAAAGCAGCAAGAAAAGTGATCTGCAATTTATACTTAATCACCGCAAACATGTAGTAAAGAAAACGACTTTGTTGCACCATTTATTACGGCTGTTGCACTCAGAAGAGTATCTTGACTTGACGTGTATACATAGGCATGTTGTGTGCTTGGTGTTTGAATCATTCTTGTCACACGGCCAGCTATCTTAAATTGGCACTCGATGGAGACAAAAAGTGTTGATATATCGGGTGTACTGAAATGCCAACCATAACGACAACCATTCGAAGATTTAGGACAAGTACCTTTTTGAAACGTCTTACTAGTTGCATTGACATGTTTTGGGTTTACATTCGCTGCACAACGACCGGCAGTCAAAGTACAAGTTACATGACCATTTGAACCTGTATTTGTGTAGCCTGTCTTACAAGTACATTTAACTGCATTTGTTGCTGTATCATGGGAACACATTGAATTAGCATCACATCCGCCATTCTTCACTTCACAGCTATCTATAAATACACAATATAAGAATGTGTGGTAAACGTATTTATTGATGATTTATATGAATTGTTCTACCTGTACAAACAAGTTTATTTTTAGCGCCAGTATTTGTGGTTCCAACTTTGCAACTACATATTGTTGCAAATGTTTTAGCATCATGTGAACAAACTGAATTGTAAGGGCAGCCACCATTATCCACTTCACATTCATCTAAATAAATTAGAAATAAATTAAATTTTTTATTGTACTTTATCTTGGTTCATTTTCTTCAATTCCTTACCTACGCAAACAGGATTGCAGGTACAACCTACGACTACATAACCTGTCTTGCAAGCACATTTGGTCGCAAATGTTTTTGAATCATGAGAACATTGAGCATTTTCATTGCATCCACCGTTATTCACTTTACAACTGTCTAAAATGATTATAACAATGCTTACGTCACATATCTTCACAAATTCTTTATTGATCTTCTTACCTGTGCAAGTGACCTGAGAGGAGGTCCCAGTATTAGTGTAACCAGTCTTACAAGTACACTTGACTGCACCTGTTGATGAACTACGCGAACAGATTGCATTAGCACCACATCCGCCATTATTTACTGTACAAACATCTGCAAATAGAAGATATCGAAAAAGATTTTTAATACTTTTAGACCATTTTTATTAGCCGATCTTTTTTACCTTTGCATACGACACTTGAATTAGTACCAGTATTGACGTATCCAGTATTGCAAGTGCATTTGACTGCATATGTTGTCATGTCATGTGTACAAACTGTATTTGAGCCACATCCACCATTTTTCACTTTACAGCTATCTAAAAAGGACAATAGTCACAAAAAATATATCATGTCTTACAACTTAGAAATTTCTCTGTTGAATGCTTTACCTGTACAAATGACATTAGAGGAGCAACCAGTATTTGTATATCCAGTTTTGCACGTACATTCAGGTAAATTTGTTTTTTTATTATGCGAACAGATTGCATTAATATCGCATCCACCATTTTTCACTTTGCAACTGTCTATATAAATTAAACGAGAAAAAACTTTTCAAGAATTTTCATTTAGTTTCTTACCTGTGCAGGTAACATTAGAACCGGCACCTGTATTTGTATATCCAGTGTTGCAAGTACATTTAACTGCATTCGTTTTTGAATCATGTGAGCATTTAGCATTAGCATCACAACCTCCATTTTTTACTTTACAGCTATCTAAAAATATAGTATATAGAAAAAATTTCATTAAATATTGTTTCCCAAGGAGCTTCATTCAATATCTCACCTGTACAAGTGGCATTGCGAATAGAACCAGTGTTTGTAAAACCAGGCTTGCAAGTACATATGGTATTATCTGTATTTTCCTTATCATTTGCACAAACCGCATTTGCATCACAACCACCATTATTGACCTTGCAATGAGCTACAGAAATACAACACACAAGTAATTTACAACTATTCTACATCGTTAATCTTAGCTAGACAGTGATACCTGTGCACACAACATTGGTGGCAGAACCAGTATTGACAAAACCTGGTTTACAAGTACATACAGCTACATTTGTTGCTGTATCTCGTGAACATTTTGCATTAACATCACATCCACCATTGTTCACTTGACAGATATCTGCAATAAATAACATATGCCAATAACGCGAATGGATAATTTTAGTAGTATTTATAGCTACGCTATTTTACCTGTGCAAACGACTGTAGAACCAGAGCCTGTATTTTTGTAACCAGCTTTACAAGTACATTGAACTGCATTAGTTTTTCCATTATGTGAACAAACTGCATTTGTATCACAACCACCATTATTTACTTGACAAGTATCTGTAATTATGTAATATATAGGAAATAATTCCATTGTATCGAATAATGACTATAGTTAAACTATCCTACCTGTGCAAATTACACTGGAGTCAGCGGCTGTATTTGTATAGCCAGTCTTACAAGTACATGTGACTGCATATGTTTCCGAATCATGTGAACATATTGCATTTATTTCACATCCACCATTCTTCACGTGACAGCTGTCTGTAACCAAAGAATATTGATAACGATTTTAAATAGTCTAAATCATCGTTCGCAGCTTAATATCTTACCTGTACAAACGACATTAGAGGAGCAACCAGTATTTGTGTATCCTTGTTTGCATTCACATTTAACTGCATGTGTTGTTGCATCATGGGAACACATTGCATTATCATCACATCCACCATTTTTCACTTCACAAGTATCTTTAAAATTTTGTTATCAGAAAAATGTCATATTATATATCCGATTGATTTTTATTGCAATTGCTTACCTGTACAAACGACATTAGAGGCAGTGCCTGTATTTGTATATCCTTGTTTGCATTCACATTTAATTGCATTAGTTTTAGATTCATGTGAACAAATTGCATGATCATCACAGCCACCATTATCTATTGTACAAGTATCTAAAATATTTTTATAGAAAAGAATTCGTTTGATGATAGAAGGTAATGATCTTGATAAAATTCTCACCTTCACAGACAACGTGCGAATCAGTGCCTGTATTCGTATAACCAGTCATACAAGTACATACAATTGCATTGTTTGTATCATGTGAGCACATTGCATTTTTATCACATCCACCATTATTCATGTGACAGGTATCTACAAAGAATTAGTTCGATGAATCATATATTTCAGAAAGCTTTCGTTTCAATAGCTGTTGAAAACTAATTGTATCGATCGGATGAGCAACCATCATACAGAAATTATTTATCTGGTGAATGATATCACATTTTAGGAAACTGTGTCATTGCTAATCAATGAGTACTTAACTATTGAAAAGTCGTCTTATCTAAATCTATCATCCTTTTAGGATATTGCAAGCTTTCAAATTGTGCTATTTAAACACTCATTTCAAAGAACTTCTAAAACGTGCAGATAAATTGATACTTCGATAGTCTTCGTATTCATCTATTAATTACGTTTGTTAGAGAAGTTTTGTATTAATTATGCTTCGTTGTAATTATTCATTTTTCATTCGATTTCCAATATAAAAGATATCCTACTCGACGCTTCTTCAGCGTAGTAGTGCATAACAGAAACAATATTGACAAAATAACTTATGTAATTGAACATCAATTTATAAGTTAGATTCTGATATTTATATCATTCTACTCGTTGTACTTATTGATACTTCTCAGTATTACATCCTAGTGAGTCTTCATTCGTAACTATTGACTCTTTCATCGATAACAATACTACATCCATTCTCTTTTCATAGTTCCTTTCTTACACTAATCGCCATGAAGACTCTACCAAGAACAGAGGCAGACTTCATACCAACATACACTTCTGAGATATTTCAATCGCTTTCTCACCTGTGCACATCACATATGATTCAGAGCCAGTATTTGTAAATCCTTCCTTGCAAATACATTGGACTGCATATGTGTCCGTAGAATGTGAGCAAATTGCATGTACATCACAACCGCCATTGTTGACATCACAACTATCTAGTATAGATAGAAAAAACAATGCACTTCATATATCAAGCATGTATTTCACTTCATCTGAATCATTTACCTGTGCAAGTTACGTTATACGAGGATCCAGTATTCATATAACCTGTCTTGCAAGTACATTTGACTAAATTTGTTGTTTTATCGTGATTACAGTTAGCATGGCTGCCACATTCACCATTATTTACGTTGCAACTATCTAGAAATAGATAAGAGAAAATCTCGACATATTTTATATCATTTGATTCCATTAAGTTTCTTACCAGTGCAAGTAGCATTCGAGTCTGAACCAACGTTCATGTATCCTGCCTTGCAAGTACATACGACGTCATTTGTCGACACATCATGTGAACAGATTGCATTGATATCGCATCCACCATTTCCCACAGTACAACTATCTGAAAATATCGAGTATTGAAAACATATACACTTAGTCTTCATTGTTTTTTTTCTTCGAATCAATCAATCTACCTTTACAGACAACCTTTGACTCAGAACCGGTGTTTACATATCCAGCCATACAAGTACACATAGTTGAATACGTTGTTGCATCATGATAACAGGTCGCATGAACATCGCACCCACCATTATCTACTTCACAACTATCTAGAAAGATTACACATCGAATATAATTGCTATAGAATATATCACCGCGATTCTAATGTATTTATTTTACCTTTACAGTTCATATTCATAGCAGAACCCGTGTTTGTATATCCCGTCTTGCAATAGCAATTTACTGCATGAGTCGATCCATCATGAGAACACACTGCATTCTCACCACAATTACCATTATTCACTTGGCAAGTATCTACACAAATAAAACAATCAAATGAAAAGATTTTCCATCTAGTAAATCATTTTGATTCGTTAATGCTATTCACCTGTGCAAGTCACATTCGATTCTGTACCAGTATTTGTATATCCCATCTTGCAAGTGCATTTAACTGCATTGTCTGGCGAACGATGATCACAGATTGCATTCATATCGCATCCACCATTGTTTTCTTGGCAGCTATCTACAATAGAAAATATCATCCCCAAAGGGTTTGAATACTCTTAATCATTATACGAGTTGAGCTATCATACCTATACACACGACACGGGGACCAGCCGCTGTGTCTGTATAACCAGTCTTGCAAACACATGTAACTTCATACGTTGATGAATCATGTACACAATTAGCATTATTATCACATCCACCATTGTTCACTTGACAAGTATCTGAAAATATGATATAGTTAAAACACGAACTAGTCTTATTAATCTTCGTATGCAGTTGAATGTGCTTACCTGTGCAAGTAGCGTTGATATCAGCACCAGAGCTTGTATATCCTGGTCTGCAGGTACATTTCACGGCATATGTTTTTGAATCGTGTGAACAATCAGCATGTACATCGCATCCACCATTTTGGACGTGACATATGTCTGTAAAGATATAATGAACAAAACAGTTTCAAATTAGTGGTTATTGTATCAAACTACAAGTGAGTCTGATATGTTGTCGAGAACGGGAAATGTCACTCAACAAGTGAAAGAAAGTTAGGCTAAATTATAAATAATTAAGATTCATTCTAATCTTACGAAATAAACGTTCTGTAAACTGTTCCAACTAAATTAGTTTCAAAAATAACACACTACTCGATCACATCAATATAGAACTCATTAAAGCCTTCACAATAACAGATACAATATCTTTTCAACTATTCTTATTCTGTATTTAACGGAGCTAAACGAGATGACTCTCGATGTTGGGTATAATAAATGAAACTGATCATTGTTTTTCGAAAATATCTCTCAACAAGTTGAATCAGATAAAATATATATTTAAGGTCATGAAATCATATTTTTTGTTTCTTTTTCGAGAAATATACTCACCGGTACAAATGACACCAGACATTGTACCAGTATTTGTGTATCCAGTCTTGCAAATACATGTAACTGCATTTGTTGTTGCATCATGTAAACAAATTGCATTGTCACCACATTCACCATTATGAATTTTACAAGTATCTGCAAGAAATATCAGACATTCAAAATTGTTTTGAATACTCTCCAATATCATTCAAGCTAAGTTTTTATACCTGTACAGATAACACAGGAGGGTGAACCAGTATTTGTATATCCAGTCTTGCAAGCACATGTAACTGCATTGGTTGTTTCATCATGTGAACACATTGCATTATTATCACATCCACCATTATTCATCTGGCAGGCATCTGCAAGAATGTGTTAGACATTAATTGTTGTATAACATATCTTATTAATTTCAATGATGCTCTTACCAGTACAAGTGACATTGCTAGCTGAACCACTGTTGATATAACCAGTTTTACATTTACATGATACTGCATGAGTCATTATATCATGTGAACAATCGGCATGTCTATCACAATCGCCATTATTGATAGTACAGGTGTCTGAAAATATATAGCATATGTAAATAGTTGTACAATATGTTTTACTAATTTAGATCATGTTCTTACCGGTACAAACGACTTTGGAACTAGTACCAGTATTTGTATATCCCGTCTTGCATGTACATATGGCTTCATATGTGTTTTCATTATGTGAACAGATTGCATTATCATCGCAACCGCCATTATACACATGACAGACATCTACAACGAACGAAACATTTAGAGAGTGAAATAAATGATGACTCGAGTATTATCTAAGCTGAGTTGTCATACCTGTACAAACAACACTTGTATCAGAACCTGTATTTGTATATCCAGTCTTGCAAGTACATATGACTGCATTTGTTTTTTTATCATGGGTGCACATAGAATTACTATCACATCCACCGTTGTTGATTGTGCAATCATCTACAGATATAGTATATTTCAAATATAAAAAAATGAAATGGATCATTCGAAATTTCAGAGAGGCGAAATGGAATCGTACAGAAATTTAACTTAGTAGCAAATCGTACTGGATGGTTCTTACGAAGAATCAAAATTCAATGCTGTCCACCATCTCTCGTTTAGAAACAAAATTAATGAGTAACATGGGATAAGACTTTTTCCTATACTTTACTTTAATTCGCTCTGAACTATTTTTAGTATTAAAAACAGTTATTGAAAATTTTAGGAATATATAGACTACACAAGACTTACGCGTTTTCGTTTTCGCTACGCTATGAAGTCGAGTCTCAGGGTCTATCAAAACCGAATAAGACAAAGGCAACTCCTCTCTTGTTTTGATAAACTCTTCAGACACGTATTAGTTCAATGGCTCTCTATAGTGTCAAAAACAAGTTTTTCCATTGAAACACAGTTTAGATTGAGTCAGTAACAGTTAAAATGAGAACAAGATCAACCGATCCTACTGAATTTCATTTAGATAATTTTCTACTGAAACAGCACTCGCAGAGACTCAGACGGTCGATCGTTATTACATGATTTCAACCATATTTATTTACCTACGCAACCGGTAGTATCATTGGAACCAGACGTTTCATATCCGGTCTTACAGTGACATTTGACTGCATTCGTTGTTTCATCATGCATACAATTGGAATTTGATCCACATCCACCATTATCGATTTGACAGGTATCTGCAAAGATATCAGAGAAAAGAGTTCAGACATGATATATGGTATTAGTTAATATGATGTTCTCACCAGTGCAAACGACATCAGGCATTGAACCAGTATTTGTATATCCAGTTTTGCAAGTACATATAACTGCATTTGTTGTTTTATTATGTGAACACACTGCATTGTTATCACATCCACCATTATGTAGCTGGCACTCATCTACAAGGTTGTAAATAAAAAGAGTGCTTTAGTGATATTTGTTACTGAGTTAAACTATGTTCCTACCGGTGCAAACGCTACTTTCGTCTGAACTATTAAATGCGTATCCTGTCTTACAAGTACACATCACTTCATATGTTGTTTGATCATGTATACAAATTGCATTAGCATCACATCCACCATTATTACCACACAGACAAGTATCTACACGAAATAGCATACATTCAAAATTATTTTGATGCTCACTGATATTACTCAAGCTGAACTTTCATACCTGTGCAGATAACATTAGAGTCAGAACCAGTGTGTGTATATCCATGCTTGCAAGTACATGTAACTGCATTTGTTGTTGCATCATGTGAACAGTATGCATTAGTATCACATCCACCATTATTTACGTGGCAGGTATCTGTAAGAATGTGACAGACATAGGTAATTCTATGATGTATGTTACTAATTTAGATAATGCTCTTACCAGTACAAACGCAATTAGTCATTGAACCAGTATTTGTATATCCAGTCTTACAAGTACATATAACTGCATTTGTTGTTGTATCATGGGAGCAAATGGCATAGATATCGCATCCACCATTGTGTACTGTACAGCTATCTGCAAGGATGTAAGAAAAAAGAATCATTTAATGACATCTGATATCGATTCATACGAAGCTCTTACCGGTACAAGTCGCATTCGAGCCTGTTGCAGTATTTGTGTATCCTTTCTTGCAAGTACATATCACTTCATTGGTTTTTGAATTATGGGAGCATATGGCATTGATATCACATTCACCATTGTCTACTTGGCAACTATCTGCAACGAAGACAATATTCACATAATAGAATAAAAAGTATAAATCTTCATTAATAGCAAATCTTCTGTACCTATGCATTGTGCATTGCCATCACAATTTGTGTCTGTGTAACCAGTCTTGCAAGTACATGTGACTGCATTTGTTGTTGAATCATGAGAGCATATAGCATTGGTATCGCAACCACCATTGTTTACTTGACAAGTATCTAGATAATAGAAACATGAAGAAAGATGTCAAATAATCTGTAGTGATTAGTTGAAGTGTCCTTTCTTACCTGTACATACGAGCGTGGCGCCAGAACCAGTGTTAGTATATCCTTTTCGGCACGTACATTGGACTGAATAACTTGTCACATCATGTGTACAATCCGCATGTTCATCACATCCACCATTGTGGTATTGACAACTGTCTAAAAGGAATCGAAAGAAATTATGGTTGGCCATGAATAAAAATTAAATTCCTGATGAGAGTATGCTTATCAATGCTCATGATAAACTTACAAATCTTCGAAAATTTATATAACATTGCATCTAGACTAACTGTTGGAAATATTATATTCAGCACCTTTTTTTTCTTTAAACAAGAGTCAGAACCACTTTTACAATCGAATTGTCATGATTTGCCTAAACCAGATATTGGTACTTATCCATGTATACCTTCTTCTGCCTGTCAAGAGTAAAAGAATTATTCGGTTTTTAGAGAGTCTTTATTTATTGAGTGAAGCAGTGAGGGTACTTTCACAAGATCAATTTCAGTCATCTTGATTTACAAAAATGTCTGTCCCAACTTGCCTTGCTTATACCACCTGCAATATATGTAAAAATACCGTATAGTATATCAACAAAGTCGACGTTAGTACTAACTGGACGAGCTTTTGTGTTCATTACGATTATAGAGGAAGACTCAATCTTTGGGTGATATTTTCATTTCACTGATTCAGGTCTAGTTGCTCAGTACTGCTAGTAAAAAGAAATATGGAATTAAATTTCACTTTTCATAATTTTTCTTGATAGTTTCAACTGTTTATTTACCCTTTTTCGCGTGAAAAAGATAAAAGGATTATTTGTCTAATGAGCTAATTAACCAAATTAAGTGAAAGATAGATAATAGATAATCTGTGTCTTTTTCAATCTTTATATTACTGTATATCTATAGAGTAATCTAGAAGTAGTATCTGACAATCTATAACGACTGAGAATATACGATGTTGGATATCTGTACATTTCAAAAATGTAATTAAGTTATCAATAAACGAGCTTCTCGCATGCACATTTTGCGATATTTACCTGTGCAGGTACAATTAGAATCGGAACCAATATTTGTGTATCCTGGTTTGCAAGTACATTGGACTGCATTGGTCCATTTATCATGGGAACAAATGGCGTTTATATCACATCCTCCATTGTCTACTTGGCAGGTATCTGTAGAAATAAGACGAAGAAAATTTGTTGTATTTTATCTATTACACATTTCATTGATATGTCTCACCTTTACAGATAACATTAGATTCAGAACCAGCGTTTGTATAACCCATTTTGCAAGTACATTTGACTGCATTTGTGTCTGTACTATGAGAACATACTGAATTCACATCACATCCACCATTGTTTACTTGACAGGAATCTACAATAGAATTTAAGAATTGAAATCAAATCTTTCATTCATGAGATACTATTTAATCATATAATGCAACGAGTAAGAAATAATTGTACTAAACGATGTCCAATATCATAATAATGATTGAAAGAATAATCTCTATAGGATCAGTTTTGAGAAATCACTCAATATTGGATATTTATCTATAGCTGAATGACTTTTGAACTTTTATATAATAATAGTTCATCTACTTTTGAGTATACTTTAGGTTGTTGAAAAAATAGAATACTCAACTGTAAAACCAAATGCCTTCACGAAATCTTTCTGCCAGAAAACATAAGACAATCTTTCACTATTAGTTCGTCCTCGTATAGAGGACTTTCTCGATAGATAGCTGAATAGTTTTACCTGTACAAGTAACATTCGAGCTTGAACCAGTATTTGTATATCCTGTCTTGCAGGCACACACAACTCCATATGATGTTGAATCATGAGAACAATGAGCATTAGAATCGCATCCACCATTCTTGACCTGGCAGCTATCTATGAAAATTTAATTGTGGAAATTTAATCAATCATTTGTGATATTTTATTTCTTTCAAAAGAACATTACCTGTGCAGGTACAATTAGAATCAGAGCCAGTATTTGTATATCCAGTCTTGCAAGTACACATGACTTCATTCGTACGTGTATTGTGAGAACAAACTGCATAGGTATCACATCCACCATTGTCTACTTGGCAAGTATCTACAAAAAGTTCATAAATGAGATTTAGACAATTTTCTCTTTAAGTTGATGATTCAAATCAGCTATTTGTTGCTATGAAAAATTTTACTGAGTGTATTGTAGTTTAATACCTTCTAAACCTAATATCATCGTTTTCTAGTCGATAGAATTAGATAGAAAGCTAGAAAAATATGCGATACTCAATAAAAATCTTTATAAATATGACAGTACAGAAAATAGACCTTGATTCATGAGAAAAAATGTTTTAGAAATTATGTGAACTATGACATGATGTTCCAAGTGAATGATTAAAGTTAATTATCTTTATTGATGTCCAAAAGGTTAGCTAAGTACTTCACAATCTTTTTTTAGTTGATTACTCTCAATTACAATTTTTAATATAAAAACATGATATATTGTGAGTGCTTGCTCAAATAATTATTTACTGGTCTACATCAATATTTGAATCTTTCATATACTGGTAATAACAATAGCGATTACTCTGTACACAGAAATTTGTGAGAAAGATTTTTGATTATTATCGAAGATAGGAGCTAAAGATGTCGATTGTTTTCAATAATGGGACTAAACATGTATTGAATATCAAAATAATCATATAAACGAATATTATATCATGAGTATTGACTGCCTCATCGAAACTGGATGAAATGAAAGAATCGTACCTTTGCAAATAACATTGGAAGTAGTACCAATATTAGTGTAACCAGGTTTGCAAGTACATGTAGCAGCATTGGTTGTTTCGTCGTGTGAGCAAATGGCATTTTTATCACAACCACCATTGACAACTTGACAACAATCTATAAAAATATAATATGAAAAATTATTAGTACACAATCTGGTGTATATGAAATCTTCCTCTTCTTTCAAAGGAAAGATAAGTTATTGCTTTTTACCTGAACAAATGACGTAATAATCTGAGCCCGTGTTTATATATCCTGTTTTGCAAGTACATTTGACTGCATAGCTCGGGCTATCATGAGTACACACTGCATTTTTACCGCATTCGCCATTATTTACTGTGCAGCTATCTACAAAGATTGGAAAGAAAAGTTTCATGTATTACGAATATAAATACAGACTGGTCAGTTGGAAGAGGAAGGTTTACCTGTGCAAGTAGCATTAGTGCTGGAACCAGTGTTTGTGTATCCTGTCTTACAAGTACATTTCACTGCATTAGTTTGTGAATCATGAGAACAATCTGCATTCATGTCACATCCACCATTGTATACTTGGCAAGTATCTAAAACAATAAGATTAGAGAAATTCGGTTATCTATTTTAAACAAAGCGAATGATTTCTTTCAATGAGGAAATTTTACCTTTGCAGATAACAGTGGAGTCGGAACCAATATCTGTATATCCAGTCTTACAAGTACATGTGACTGCATTTGTTGTTGCATCATGTGAACACTTTGCATTATTATCACATCCACCATTACCTACTTGACAGCTATCTAAAAAATTAAGGCAAAGAACACGTTTATCAATTCACAATCATCTGAGATTCTAGCTCACCTGTACAAATGACGGTTGATCCAGAACCGGTGTTTGTATATCCTGTCTTACAACTGCACATAACTGCATTGGTTGTAACATTATGTAAACAATCAGCATGCATATCACATCCACCATTCTTCAACTCACAATTGTCTACAAAGATTTAATTTAAATGATGTTACACACATGGCACATATCGATGATTTTAGTTCTTTTGCTTACCTGTGCAAATGACCTTTGCAGTAGTTCCTGTGTTTGTATATCCTGGTTTACAGGCGCATTGAACTGCATAGGTTGTTGTATCATGAGAACACATTGCATTCATATCACAATTACCATTATTTACTAGACAGCTTTCTAAAAAGATATGACGAAAAACAATAATTAACATACAGCAACTCTCATTGATTCCCGTTAAGTTCTTTACCTATGCACTGAGGATTGCAGACACAACCTATGTTTGTGTATCCAGTTTTGCATTTACATTCAGTTGCATTTGTAACTGCATTATGCGAGCATAGTGCATGCTCTTCACAGCCACCATTGCTCACTAGGCAACCATCTACAAAGATTGTATAAGATACAAGTTTATTTGATGACATTCGTCTAGATTATAGCAAGAAAATGTTACCTGTACAAATTACATTGGAGCCGGTACCAGTGTTCTTATAACCAGTCTTACAAGTGCATACGATTGCATTGGTTGTTGCATCATGAGAGCAAAATGAAGTTGCACCGCATCCACCATTATTTATTCGACAATTATCTGAAAATATATGAAATAATTTAATGATCTTTGCTGTTCACTAATGGACTGTTGGGACTAAGAAAAAATATTTGATGAACTTTGATATTCTATCAGACACTGTTTGTATCTTCAGAGATTTCTCTTGACTTCAACAGGATTCCATTACTAACCATAGCTAACCAATGCGTAGTGTAGTAGATTCTGTTTCTGAGAACTTGTCAATATGACTGATTACTGTTGTATAAGTTTGAGCTTCATGTATAGAAGTTATTTTAATCATTACAGTAAAATTTCATAGATTTGTTAGATAACAGTGAACTTTTGATTTTTGTTATAGAATACTCGAGTGCAAAGTAAACATGATGTGAATATTATATTGTTTATAATGCGCTGACTTTTAACTCATATTATTTTCATATTAGTATAAATTTCTACCACACATCATATATCGCATATATCAAAGATTTCAAATACACTACTTACCCGTGCATGTGATATTTGAACCGGAAGCTGTGTTTGTATAACCTGTTTTGCAAGTACATTTGAGTGCACCTGTTGTAGCATTATGAGAACACACGGCATTGATTTCACATCCACCATTATCTATTTGACAACCATCTACAAAGATAACATACGGATGAGAATGATTTGAACATTTCATTTAAGCTGTTTACCTGTACAAACGACATTGGAGGTGAAACCAGCATTCACGTAACCAGTTTTACATGAGCATTCGGCGGCATACGTATCTGCATCATGTGTACAAATTGCACTAGCATCACATCCACCATTACTTATTGTACAGCTATCTGCAACGATTCATTTATTAAGTTTATCTGATGATATTTATTGTAAATTTTAATGAGAGACACTTACCTGTACAATTAACGTTTGAACTAGAACCAGTGTTTACGTAGCCAATCTTACAAATGCATTTAACTCCATCAGTTACTGCATCATGCGAACAGTCGGCATTTGGACCGCATCCTCCATTATTTACCTTACAACTTTCTGAAAAGATTCGATTTAGATGATGTTACGCATCTGATAGATATCAGTAATATCAGTTGCGCTACTTACCTGTGCAAGTAGCATTTAAAAAAGATCCCGTATTTGTATATCCTGTTCTGCAGATGCATTGAACAGCATTTACTGTTGTATTATGGGTACATATTGCATTGACATCACATCCACCATTACTCGTTAGACAATTATCTAAAAAATTATGACGAAAAAGCAATAAGCATAATGTCAGCTACTTCATCGAAGACGCCTTACCTGTGCAAATGACATTGGAGTTAGAACCAGTATTTGTATATCCACTCTTGCAAGTACATATGGCTGCATATGTTGTTGGGTCATGTGTACACATTGAATTTGCGTTACATCCACCATTATTTATCGTACAACTATCTACAAACAATTAATATAAGAAATACGTCAAACATGATATATGTCAACTACAAATAACTAGATTTCTCACCTGTACAAACAACATTTGCAGTTGCATCCGTATCAGTATATCCTGTTTTGCATCTACATTTTACTGCGCCTGTAGTTCCATCATGTGAACAAACCGCATTGTTATCGCATCCACCATTCAGAACTTGGCAGCTATCTAAAAGAATGGGAAGAAAGAAATTTAGAAGATCAATGTGCATATTAATGATAATTCTTATGAAGTTTTTTTACCTGTGCAAGTGACATTGGATGTGGTACCAGTATTGGTGAATCCAGTTTTACAGGTACATTGGCGTTCACCTGTGTATTGATCTTGTGAACAAGCAGCATTTATATCACAATCGCCGTTGTTGTCTAGGCAAGGATCTAAAAGACAACGTTACACTATGAGATCAGATAAAATAATTTAACAGTAGATACTATTTCAATATCAGTGATTTCAAAAAAAATAAATGCATATATTAAAGTTAATAATGTGTCTATCTGTGTTATTTAACGAAAAAAAAGTTGAAGAGGCAAATAGAAGCAAGTGATCTTTGCATGAATGGAATGAATGAAGAATAACTGCATTTTAAACTAATGCAAAGAATATCTATGCCATTATCACATCCTCATGTGAAAACAAGATGATGACAAGTGAATCAATTTTTTTTCTAATGAACAAAACGACGTCTCTTCAATTTCTATCAAATCTGAATATTTTGTTGAGAAGTTCATAGTAAAAGTATGCATAAGATAGACTCCTATCTTTCGAGATGTATATTAATATGTATGATAGATGAGGTTTTTTAGTTCGCTGAGTGAAAGAACAAGTGAAATTCACATAAGTGTAAAGGATTTCTAATGGTTATATATAGGATCCGAAAATATATAGTTTTCGTGTTCACAAGATTAATCAAGTGGCTATAGTCAGAAGTTTAAAAAGGTCCTAATGTTCTCTATAAAGCAAAGTAGATAATAACCGAATGAAAAATGAATACTAGTTTCCACACTTACTTGGAGGCATGCACACATCACTTAAAGTAAATTTAATGGCGGTACCGCTCACATTAGCCGTGCAACCAAGAAGAGTATCTGCAGTTGGTGTATAACAGTATGCATGCATAGCGCATGGTTCTGCGATCATTTTAGTAACCGTACCAGCTTTGGAAAACTGGCAATTGATCGAAACAAAAGCATTTGATATATCTGGTAGTAAAAAGTGCCAACCAAAGTTATAACCATCCGGTGATTCTGGACAACCAGCACAATTGTAACCTGGATTTACCGCATTGATACAACTTGAGTCCAAAACTGCATTCTTGATGGCTGAAAAACACAATAGGATAGAGGATATAAAATGTAAGAATTGGACTAGTTCATGAATACTGTTCAATATATCTCGCTGTATTAGTGGATAACTCAACGAAAACAGTGTCTCTGTTTCATTGCAGTGGCAAACTGAACTGCACTCAATATCTTGGTTATCGAAACTGATAGTTATAAGTGTATGTGTATTATTCTTTTGTTTATATTTCGAGGAAAATGAGAGTTTATTTGATGTTTATGAAGGAAAGCGGAGAGCGTAATTCTGACTATAACTCAAAATATCTTAGGCATTGCCGTTTTAATAATTTTTAGTCTTACTGAATTGCATTAGCTTGCCGAAATCCAGTATCTATAGATTTTTACAAACGAAAAATGAATTCGTTTATAATTATATTTCTGCAAACTTTATTAAAACGATTTTTTAAAGCTGCTCAATCAATATCCATAAGCTGTTTCATTTTGTCTCACTAGTCTCAAACAATCGCCATCATATTGATACAAGGGTTCATATGAAGAAAAAAAAGAATTTTTGAAACTTACATGGAGCTAATTCACCAAATTGTATTTGTAAAATAAGCACCGATACTGCGAATATCAAATTAATGATATTGTTGAAAAACACCATTTCGTGAATGTAATACCAATTGACAGATCTGATATTGAAGTGACAATGTATGCAAACAGAAAGCTAATGTCGTTAAACACAGAATGTATTGACATTATATAGTTGTCGTAAATATTCACAATACAATAGTATTGAATAGCATAACAAGCTATTATCATGTAACAGAATGAGAAAATTGATTTTGCAGATGATACCAATATGTATTGTATCAATAGATAATATTTTTATATTTAGAAAAATTTCGTATCCAATTACGGACAAATCCAAAAAAAGCAACAGAACACACATGTAACCAATGAAAGTGCATTCTAAATTACCATCAATTGTATTTTTGCATGATGCGCCAGATCAAAACTATTTACGATTGACATCGGTGAATTAGTGCATGTGTGGGTTTGATTTACGGTCAAACGTGAAAAATCATCAAATTATGATCTGTAATATGTTCAGTTGATTTCAACGTCGTGTGCTGAAAATGCAAATGTTCAAACGATTCATGTAAGTCAAATGTTGTGTGATGATTGTTAGAGCACGATTCTGTTTTTTGGGAAAGCATTCAACAAATACTGATTATCATGAAAATGAAACTGTATCTTGTTTATAATCTTTGAGCTTAACAGACTAAACTGTTTATTTTTCAATTATCATTTGTCACTAGAAGACTATCTTGTAAGATACATATGTATTATACTGTTTTGCCATCATACAATGTCTCCTGTTTGCAAAACTTCTCGAGTATCAAAAACTTTTTTTCTCACTATTCCATCAAGTACCTATATACAGTTCGATGGAACTAAGTATACTGATTATAATTATCACTTTATATTTGCAAAAACTTATTAGTTAACAACAAAGATCCAAAGGGTTTCTTCACTCAAAAACTACAGTCAATTTTCGAAATTAAGATAAATATATGAGAAGATATTTCGTCTTCCAATCTTTCGTTAATAACATGATTTTCCATTTTACATTTATGTTTGGTTAATGATTTTAAAGTTTTCCGTAATCAACCACTTGAAAAATAGGCTTTTTCGATAAAGTAGACAATCTTTAATCGATATAATGACTTTTTTTTTTATTTAGAAGAGCATGTCGAGATGCTGCATACCACAGAGTTTTTTATTGTATATATAGAGAAGTATATATCTTGACAATCATTTTTGGCTCGGTTTTTAGTCATTGAACTTGTGATCTCCTTTCTTCACTAAAAAAACTAAAATTAAAAAGAGAATTTTGTACTGCTTACATGTGTGGGTGTAAACAAAAGACTAAGATGCTAGTCACACTCACATCAATCTACCCTCGACCACACCCACACCCTCAATGGATCAATTATAGATCAAGAAAATATTTGTTTTTGTTATATCTAGATAGAGTATAGATTAAAATTTCGATATTTATCATAGAAGAAAATCTCGTCTAATGTGATAAAAAAGTGTTATTTATGTTTTCACCTATCCATATTCGAATATATGATGTTTCATTTGTATCTCTACAAATTGAATAAGTTGATGGTAAAGATAAACGTAACCATTCAACAAGTTCATCTTCATTTAATGATGTATTTCTTTTATCCCATGTATCAACTTTACATTGAACAACTAATGATCGAAGATTTTTCATTATATTAATAAGAATTAAAACATTATTTCGATTTTCAATTTTAATTACTAGAACTTCACACTGTTGTCCAAGTTGTGAATAAGCTAAATCAGTACATTCATCGTTATTAAAATATGCTAGTGTCATTGAACATTTTGTAATAAAACTTAGACGACGTATTGATGAGCTTGTTATTTGTTTAACAGATACTTTTGAATCAAATGAATAGAATAATCTTAATGAATAAAGACATGGTGATAAATTAATTAATGTTTGTAATTGTTGATATATATAATTTTCACCTAATACAATTTCAAGTGATTTTAATTGATTTAATGATGGGATAAATGAATAAAATTGTTCGTCGAAAGGAAAACCAATTTTTAAATGTTGAATATTTGGAAATTGAATTGGTAAAATATTTAAATAATCCGTTGGATTTATTTTATATTTCATATATTGTAAACTATTAACATGTTTATAACGCCAATAGGTTTTTTCATCTGGACAAGTATATTTTGATATTAGTGTATCATAACAAATAAATGAATTGAATGCATATGGTAATGTATAAAGTATCCCATGATTATATGTACCAAATGGAATAGAATCACATTGTACAAACCATTGATGTTTTTTAATCCAAAATGAACTTCGATATGTATTTATTAATTTTTCAAATTGTTCATTAATATTTTTCTCATGTGGAAATTCAAAATACATTCTTAATCGAAATATTTGTAATTTTGGTAAATAATTTAGCAGAATTTTTTTCCATTTATTTCCACTTAAATAAATATCCATTGTTTTTAATGTTAAACTATATAAATTTGGCATCATTTGAAAAAGTTTTATCATAACTGGAACAGAACTTTCAAATGTTAATTTTAATGATGTTATTGAACAAATTTGTATTGGTATTTGTTCATCTGCAACATTATAATGAATAGCTGCATTTAAATATCGAAGATTAGGTGTATATTTAAATAAATGTAAAAGATTTTTTAAATCACAAGTTATATTTTCAATATATAAATATTGAATTGATAATGATTCAACAGAAATTCTACTTAAACATAATTTACCTAATAAAATATAGTTAATAGATAAATGATGAAGTTTTTTTAAATGCCAAATATTATTAAATAAAAGTTGTGTATCTTTTTTTTCACCATCATTGGCACCATCAATTAAATAAAGATGTGTTAAATATGGAAGTTGATGACATCGAACTATAATATCATTTAATTCTTTAAATGATGAAATTGAATAAAGTGAAAGTGACTGTAAACGAATGAATTTATCAAGAGTAAAACCATAGGAAAAAAGAAAATTAGGTAGATTTGGAGTTTCGTCATCATTAGATAGTTTTAAGGAAATAATTCGTTCGATTATTAATGGGAGACAGTGATGACAAATAAAATTAAAATCATGTTTAGATATTGAACGAAAATCAAATCGATAAGGATGAAAATGAGTAGAAAGTAAATTGTTAAATCGAGTATTTAAACCATAAAAAGAACGAAATAAATCAATTCCATCGAAGAATTCAAATATATCAAGTAATAATTCATTTGCTAATGATTCAAAATACATTTCGTCTTGACTTTATTTAAATTTCAAGGTATACTATAAATAACGTATAATAATGGTTGATGTTATCTTAAGGTAGCAAAAATATTTTTTTCTTGCTAAAAAACCACATGGTAACATCTGTTTTGTTCTTTTCTCCGTCTTTTATGTTTATCAGTATTTTAGTAAAGATATTTTAATTTATATTTTGTTGACTCAAAGAAAAACAACAATGACGAAGTTTTTATTTTAGAGAAGATTCGTAATAAGAAATGAAAATCTTCGGACTCTCTAAACTTAAACAATTACTATACTAACAACGTCACTATCTCGGTGCAATTGCTAGTTAATAAAAGAAATAATACTGGATGATGACACATGTTTTTTTATTTGATCTCTCAAATTTAGGATTCGTTTCGAAACAGATGAGTTGTAGAAAATTTTTTATTCAAACAGTCATAAAATCAAACGAAGTAAATATTTTTTTCTAATCGTATATAGCATTCGATTACATGGTAACATATGCACATAAATATAAAGAAACGCATTTATATATTGTTTGTTGTTATACAAATGTTACATTAAATTTAATAATAATAGTTCTTTGTGTATTTTTATAATACGCAACTGAAAGCAATTGTTGACAGATGTTTTTTTATTTGAGAAATACGAAAATATTGAAGTTAACATTACAATGAAAATTGTCAGTGAATGTGATGCTGTGTATTATCATTCAACATCAATTTATCTCAACAGTAAAACATTAGTCTACCAAAACTTATAGCTATGACCATCAGACATTAAGACTTCTTTGAGCTTCGAATGGTGTGGTAAATTTCTGTTTTAAGAAAATTTCAAGTTCATCACATGTTGATGTTATAGATCCTAAAAAATAAATAACTGTGCTACAAGTACGTAGATTGAATGTCAATGCTAGAGATCGGCAATTTATTTTTAATAGTCTGTTTGACAAGAAAATTTATTCTAATATAAAAAGAATATGAAGATGAAGTATGTACTTTGAAATCTGTGAGTATGAGTGACAAACAAATAAAATGCTCTAATCCTAACTCATACACTTGAGATGAAATATAGCCGTTCGAGAGAGATATCCAAAACTGTAAGTTAATCCGTAATATCATCAATATTTTCATACATAAATTTAAGAGTATTAGAAAAAAATATCTAACAACAACGTGTTGATCTACTTTTTTTTCTAAATATCTAGTCACGTAGCTCTGTAAGATCAAAGATAAATACTAATTATATAATTTCGTTAGTGACTCTTTATGCAATCTGCTTTTATTATATATTCATGTACCCGACCATGGTTATATGATAGAGTCTAAAAATATCGTTCGAAGAAAAAAAATGTCATGAAAGCGGTCTCATTGATACTAAAGCATCGTCATTCTTCAAACAATTTTTAATTATTTTACTAGAATTGTCAGTCTTTTTTTTTAAATCATATATTACATTTGACGAGTTTATTTCATACGTTAACTGTGTTACAAGAAAATACTATCCAGTTATGTCACTTCTACATATTGCTCAAAACTTTACTGTATATGGTGGTTTAGTTTTACTTGTTGCAGGTGTTGTGGGAAATACTATAAGTATTTATATATTTTCAAGTGTTGGTACTTATCGTACAGCTCCATGTGGATTCTATTTTATGGTTGAATCAATATTTAACATTCTTTACATATTAATTAATTTGACTAGCCGTATTGTTAGTGTAGGTTTTGCATATGACTTAACTGCAACTTCAGTAGTATGGTGCAAAACACGAAATTTCTTTGTAGCTACTCTTGGTCTAGTTACTTTTACTTGTTCATGTTTAGCTACAATTGATCAATTTTTTGCTACATCAAGAAGTGTTTCTTTACGTCAATGTAGCAATTTGAAATGGGCACATCGAATAGTTTTAATTGCTATAATTGTTTGGTGTTTACATGGTATTCCAATTCTTATGTACTATGATATTATACCAACTTTAAAAAGTTGTGGATCTACTAGTAAAGCATTAACAACCTATATTCCAATATTTGTTTGTGTTCTTCTTTGTGGTATTCCAATCTCATTCATGATCATATTTGGATTTTTAACTTATAGAAATATTCAACACATAAGAGCTCTTGCTGAACAACGTGCTGATCGTCAATTTACGCAAATGTGTTTGATTAAAGTAGTTCTTATTATTATTACAAACACTCCATTTGGTTCTTATACTGCTTATGGTTTAATTACAAGTGGTATGACTAAAGATCTCAATAGACAAATGCAAGAATATTTAGCTGCATCAATTCTCAGTGTATTAAATTATACCTATTATGTTGTATGTATTTTGTTTTTGTTATATTATAAAAAAGAATTTTCTTGATTTGTTTTTAGGGAAGTTTCTACATGTTCTTGATTTCATCGAAACGTTTTCGTCAGACAGTGAAAACTCGTATATTTTGTTGGCATGGATTAAATCAAATAAATCCATCCGCGACCTTCACATGAACATCATCATTAAACAATATATGAGTTAAAATAAGAGTTAATGAGCATCGTCAATCATTATTTTTAATTATGTATTCAATTTAGTTTGATGTCTAAAATTACTTAAAATAAAAAAAAATAAATATCGTGTTGTCTGTGCAAAAGCTAAATGAAGATTTTTTTAACAAACTACAAAGCAACTATCTTTTGATTCCAAGTAACAGAATTTAGTTTATTGAGGCATGATAAATTGAAATCCCGAATGTTGCGCGCCGTAAGATACGCATCAGTAAATAAGCAGGTCAAATAATTTCAATTGAAATATTCTTAAACAGGCCTACGATTAACTTCATTAGTTAGATTCAAAATCAATATTTTGATCATCTTTAAATATCTCTCGTATATATATTACGATACTAAGATATACATAGACGAATAATTATACTATCCGCTTGATGATAAATCATAATTAATACCTCCATCAAACATATGATTATTAATAGAAATATACAAGTGTTTGTACACTAAGAGCAAATAAAAAATTGTAGATTTTTATCCTTTGTCGGGCTATATAATACGAAGTTTTTTTCTCGTACACAACATTCGTGGACTCGATAAATTAAGTCATTATTAATAGAAACTTCAATATTATATTTACAAATAATGAAATAAATCTTTCAAGTTTTCTGAATTTATATATTTCTGAAATACAAATCATCTTTTATAGAAATTAATTTCGAAGTCTTAAATAATTGATCAAATATAAGATAAACGAAAAACCTATAGTGTATCATCATATTTTTTTAAACTTCATTCCGTAATAGTGAATACAACATTTCCATCTGTTTGTAGATTAATCAACAAATAATCAAAACGAGATGAAACAAACTCTCAGTCACACACCAATGAGTGCTACTAAAATTTAAGGATGTGAATATGGATGAAAGTAAAATAAAAGCACTACAATAGCTAATATCTGCATTCATTCTCAAATCTGAAGAGAAATTAAGCAAAGTGTGATAAAGATCGTTGCTATAACTACGAAGTATTTCGTCTTAAGATAATGATCCACTAGTTTATTTATTAGTAAACCACAAGTGGCTCTCTACAATTTTAATATATGATCTAAAGAAAAAAATTAATTTTCTTTTTGCTGATAGAAAGACTATATACTTGATAGTTTAAAAAATAATTCATTGTCAAATTTTTGAAATAGGCTCTACGTTACTTAATACAACAACATTTTTTAATTAGTGCTATTAATAAACACAAAGATTATACTAGACTGATATGATCTTTTTTAAATGTGATTTAATTTAATGCCTTAGTGTTGACGTTAGAACACTTATTTAGTTCTGCTTATCATAAAATCTAAATTACATGTGTAAGAACTTGAAAACAAAAGTCTATATGCAAGATTCATACAGAAAAGACTCCGCAAATTGTTCTCATCCTCAAATTTTTTGTTCTTGTAAATTAACTATTATATGATATTTGATTTATCTGTTTGAAAAAGTTAAAAAACTGTAAAATAAACGAGTATTTGCAATTCGACGAAAAATTTACAATGCTCCAAGATTTTCTTCTTATTTTTGACTGAAAAAAAAATAATTTTTACAATAGTACATTTTATCACTTGTAATATGCATCTATTTGTTTTTACAACATCAGAGTAAAACTATCATCAAAAATTCAGTACTTTTAATAGATTAGAAAATATAATGAGAATGCTCAAAAAGGTACGCAAAATTTTAATTTGATTTTCTCAGATAATATCTTCTAAGCTCGTGTAGGACATTAATTCAAATCTCATAAGACTCATAAAGCAAATATTATCATATATAAACATACGAGAAAATTATTTTTCTATACATAAACAATCTACATTCTGTTATTCAAATAAAAATTATAATGAACAATTTTGCATTTATACTCAATATAGGAACACTTATTATCGATATATTAACATGTATGATTACATTTATCATTTTGATTATCATTATTCATCATACTTGTTATAATCGTTTGACACAAAAAGATAAAGTAGTTGCATGTCTCTGTCTAACTACTCATCCAGTTATTTTTCTCTTTATGGCAATAATAGTTTCGTTTCATATTCAAGCACTCTTAGGTGATCTCGATGTGCAGACTTATAATCCAACATGGTGTATATTCATTGCATATATTTCTTATATTCTTCTCAGTATATTTTATTGGACTTTCGTCAATCAGGTAATTTATATTTTAGAACATAAATCTCAACATATTAGATTACATTTTCTAGGCTTTTTTTCGCCTTGCGCGTATTGTTTATTCAACATGTAACTATTTTCAATATTTCTGGCTATATATTATTTTATTTTTTACTGAATTAATTTTCAGTTGTATTCTTTTATCTCCACTTCTTTTTTGGCATGACATCGTTTATCTACCAGAAAATTATTATTGTTATGTTAAATTCGCATACAGCAGTAGTATACTTTGGCTTGGATTGATTATTTATGGAATTCCTCTTTTCTTAGTATCATTAATCTATTTACGCATCACAAAGTTTCTTCAGCAAAACTCAAATAATCAAGCACTAGTAGTTAAACATCATCAGCAAAGAGATTTAATCGTTTGTCAACGTATTCTCATAACTATGAATCTACTCGTCATTCATGGAATACCACCGATAGTCTTTTTAATAATAACAGCAATAACAGGTGAAGAATCTTCGCTTAGCTTTCGTATTAGTTGGCCTTTTATGAGTTTAACAATGATGGGATCGAGCGTATGGCTAGTTATTCTTACACCACAATTAAAAAAAGTTATTTTAAAAAAATTTCACAATCACCGAGTAGTACCCTTCGGCGGTACCTAAGCGAATTCAATACAATGAACTTTTAGACTATTTAAACTATATTTTGCATACTATGATATTATATATTTTAATATTTCTTGTTTACTGTAGTTTTGTTTCTTCGAATATTTATGATTTTATTTGTTGTATACGGTATTGTCCCAAAATCCGGAAAATTTTTAAAAAAGATTCAGTAGTATTTTTAACAAAGAAGCATGTACAAGAAAGAAGAAAAATCATTTGATCTGAAGAGAGGTGACGTAGTTCACTTTTTATTAGCTACCAATAAAGAAAGTCCCACGAGATATTCATCACGATCGGCCGCATCGCCCTCGAAATATTTGGCAAGTAGGATTATGAAAGCTCGGGCTCAGTTCTTTCGAATTGGAACTGTCACATTTCTATTAGCAAGTGTTTTAATTTCAGCTAGAAGGTTAGGGCATGGATACAACATCCACACTATTATGGTGCATGTCTGTGTATATTTGCTAATAGAAGTGCAGAGCACAGTTAAATAGAATGGCACTCGGTAGACGATAATCATGGTCGACGTAGACAACCATAAACATTTATGAAAGAATATTATCATCCTCTTCTGTTAGAACGATATCAGAAATTTTCCGGATTTCAAGACATATTCTTGTATACTATCCGAAAGTATTTTTGTAAAAATAATTATTTGAACTATTCAACCTTTTATTTTCATCGTCATCTTGATCATACAGCTTGCTTTAGTTCTGAACAGAAACTATATAGTTCTGTTGAGTTTATGTTAAAGATGAGGATTTTATACTTATTTATCATCATTCAATTCACTCGCATTCTCAAGATGTTCAACTAAGTAAATAATTAGAGCATTATTTATTGAGAACATTTCCTAGTAAGATATCCGAGAGCGCAATATTGGTATAGATAATGTTCTAATGATTGCCGCAATGCATGGATATCTGAAGAACAGTACTTTCACAAGCAAGAAGAAATAATTTAACATGAAAACAATTATTTTAGAAGATCAATGTTATATTAACGAATCCACATACGAATTTTCGATGGTTCATCTTTATCTCTCTCAATCGAACAACTCGAAGATAATAAATGAGTATATAACCATATTAATAGTTCATCATTTTCTGGATTATCATCTTCACATTGAACAACCATCGATCGAAGATGTAACATAGTTTTAATTAGATGAGGAATATTCATTCGATTTTGAACTTTAATCAATAAAACATTACAATATCGACCAATTAATGATTCAGCTAATGCATCACATTCAAATTTTTTAAAATGTCCACATTGTAATGTAGATGTACTAATAAAATCAAGACGACGAATTGATTTACTTCTTAAACGAAATAATGCCATGGATATATTTTTTAAACATCGAAATGTTAATGAATAAAGACATGGTGCTTGATCGAGTAAAGCTTGTAATTGATAATAAGCAAAATTATTATTTAACATAATATCAAGTGAATATAATTGATTTAATGTTGGAACAAATGACCAGAAAAATTTATCATTATATGGAAGTCGAAGTTCAAGGTGTTGAATATTTGGACATTGAATTGAGCAATGAGAATTAAGTTTATTGATGATCGAATTACTTTCATATTCTAAATATTGTAAATTACTTACACGATCATATGAAGATTGATATTGATTATTTATACATGTCGATTTCGATCGACATAAATTATCATATAAAAAATGATTAAAACTATAAGGTAAAGTATAAAGAACTGCATGTTTTTGTGATTTCGATAACGTCCAATCACATTGAACAAACCATCGATGTTTTCGAATCCAAAATGGAGTACGAAATGAATTTAATAATGTATCTATTTCTTTTTCTCTATTACGAACAGATGATAATTCAAAAAACATTCGTAATCGAAATGTTTTTATATTTGGTAAATTTTCAATAATAAGTTTTTTCCATTCCGATCCATCTAAATATATATAATCAGTTTCAAGTGTTAAATAACGTAAATTAATCATATGATGAAAAAGACTTATCATTGTATTTAATGAACTTTTATGAATAATATTCAATGAAATTATTGATGAAATATTTGTTTGTAATTGTTCATCTCTACAACCACAAAAAATTGTTGTATATAATTGTCGAAGATTAGGTGTAAATTGAAAAAGATGAGTTAAAGTATTAAAATCACAATGAATATTTTTCATTGATAAATATTCAATTGATTGTGAAATATTTGATATTTGAGTTAATAATCGTTGACCTGGTAAAATATAATCCAGTGTACAATGTGTAAGCTTTGGTAAACGCCAAACAATATTTATAAAATATTTAAAATCATTTTCATTCTGCCAAAATTGACATTTAATAAATGTTAGATGTGTAAGAGTAGGTATGTATTGACATTGTTTAATAATATTATAAATTCTATTGAGAGAATGAATATGATATAATGAAAGTGACTGTAAATGATTGCATTTATCAAGAATAAAACCATTAGAAAATAAAATTTTAGATGAAATAGGTGTTTCATCATCATCAGATAAATGAAGAGAAATAATTTGTTTTGTAATAATTGTTAAATAATCTCGACATATAATCTCGCAATCATGTTTTGATATACATCGAAAATCAAGATAATATTTTTGATCATAATCGTTGAGAAGATTGTCAATACGAGAATTAAGTCGATAGAAAGCACGAAAAAGATCGATAATATTGAAATATTCAAATAAATCGAATATTAATTCATTAGGTAATCCTTCGAATTTCATTTTGTCGTGTTGTGTTAGCAAAAAAATGGTTGTTTTGCATATGTTTTTGTTTGAAGAAGAACAAAATAAGAGCCTATTTTTCGCGTTCTTTTTTTTCTATAATTATTAATCATTTATAGCTTCATTTTTCTTTTTGTTGTTCTAATGCTTTTTAAAATGAAGAAAGAAAAATGCTTTTGTTATTCTTAATGTATTATGTTATGTCTATAATTTTTATGAAGAAAAATATAGAAGGTTCTTTTTTTTTTAAATGAAGTTGTACGTTGATAGTAACAATTATATTTAAAAAAAGTGTCAATAAAAACAAAAGTTTAATCGGTATCAAGTGAATAAAACCTTGAAATGAAGGTCAAAATATAGACATGTGTAGTTATTAGAAAGAAAGTAAGTATTTAATCGGTAAACACATTTATAAAATGAAAAATAATATCGAAAAGTAAAACATGATTAAAAAGAAAAAGAAAATTTAACTCTATGTTGAAAGATTATTTTTTTTCTCTTGAGAGTGTGTTTTGATGATGAGAGTTTAATGTGAAATGGCATCAGTTTTATCTATTTATTTCAAACAATCGATAACATCACATTAGATTTAGTATTCGTAGAAATCAATGTTATTATAATATACAACAATAGCAAGTTTTTAAAAGGAAAAATAAAATAAGAGATACATGGTACATGTAGTAGCAATATATTGTCGTCATGACAATTAAGATATTTATTCGAATGAGTATAGAAAATAAGCGTATTACGTGAAGATTATAAGAGGTGTGTGAAATCTATGAATGACTTCAGCAAACGGTTCTATCGACTAATCGGATCTTATCAGACTTAGTACTGAGTCTATTCACTCGGATAGAAAAATGATATCAGCTTAATGATTGGCTTACGTTTTTCAAACTGTAAACAATTACTTGCAATGCTCAATGAAGTATTTAAGCTTATTTACTATTTTCGCTACAAAATAATCGTTAATATCAAAAGAACGATGTAAATTATTTGTACCTACGCATTACTTTTTCACATTATTATTTTGAGTTCATTTTTGATAAAAGATCGTATCGAATGAACACCTAATGTTCAAAAAACTCGAATCCAGTTCACTGCTATCAATCATATATTCATCGATTCGAATAATTCTAGTACTATCACCTATATTCTTGATTACGGTAATAATCGAGTGACATGTCAATCCGATATTGCTATTATCAAGGGATTAGGATAAAAAAGACAAACATTATATCTTACATATTCTTTGCAACTGATTTGGTTTAATGAACTATCGTTCATAAACGTAACTAATTAACTTGAATTTATGAAATAGTATGTCCAGATATATTCAAGCGAATGAATCAATTGGATGGTACAGTTAATAAGAGATCAGCGAAAAATAATACACATACTATAGTACATCACCGTAAAAAAACGACTATTAAAATCATGAAGAGATATTTCTTTAATTCGTAATCAACGAAATGCATATAATACATCCATAAACCATTGAAACCAATTTTTCTTCTGATTATACGCACATGTATTGATACAAGACTATATAAAGATAAGAACTGTATCTAAACTCTGAGCATAAAAGTTTAAGCAAATAAGTTTTTTTATTCATAAAACTATGTTTTAAAAAAAATTAGTCACACTTTCTAACTCATCTAAAAAAACTTTGTCATTCTACCAAACACATTGCTCTGTCTTAAATGACTCATCTTATTTTTTTTCACATGCTTACTACTTCCTCTTTTTAATGAATCTAGCAATATTTCTCAATAATCTCGTACGACTATTTTATTTTGCATAGTTTAATTGTAAGTAATATTTTAAAAATTGAAATATTCTTTTGTTAATTAAAAATATATCTTTAAGATATTTTCAATTTATTCACTTATTTTTGTCGCGTAGGGTTTTTATATGGTAAAAAAATATATATATCAATACGAAAAATAACAGGGTTTCACCTTATTTTTCCTAATCTAATAAATGCAATCATTTATTTCGAACGAAAAAGAACGCATGTACATATCATAAGTACCCTGTTTCATAACAACACGTTTGAATGCATCATAATAAATATAAATTAAGTTAAGTTTGAAAGAATAGATTTTTCGACGTTAATCGAACAAAATCTGACAATAAAAGTAAGTTGATTTTATTCATTTCTAAATTAAACTTATTCTTTTGAATTCATATTTAGAATTTACAGTATTTCATCACGAATGAGTTTTTTTAAATTGTATTACATTTCAATATACTTCTATTTGAGTCTTTCATACGAAAACTAAGATAAAAGTGTCTATTAGAAGTTTTGTGGTATTCCATAGTACTATTTATATGCTTTTATTTTCAAAAAAGGTACTTCCGTTTTAACCTTTGGTATAAAAGCATATAAATCACGTTTACGATCGAGGTCAATAACCTCTTCTTCCTATTTTACCTTTAAACACAATAATATTTTTTGTTTATATAAAATTTCCTTCTAGTCAATATTTGAAGCATGCTACTGATGTTTCTAAAACTTGACGAAACGATATTTTGTATTGAATAATTGAAAATAAATCTGATTATACGTCATTTTTTTTACAGTATTTTTGAGAAATTACGTTCAATTATTTAAAAATGAGTTTTGATCAAATCATAGATGAATTATTATATAATTGAAGTATAGAGTTTTTATTATTTAATAAGAAAAGTAATTGATTTGTTTCAATACAATAAATATAGGGACTATTCACATATATATATATATTATAGAGATATTATTTTATCCACGATGGGTTTTGCAAGAAGTTTTCAATGGATGTGGAAATCAAATGTCGATCCATTCTCAGATTCTGAACCAGCAGAATGGAAACCGTATTCTGATGTAGAAAATTTAATTATTGAAGAAGCATATACAACTAGTCGAACACTAGCTGTCTTAGAGAATTATATTATTACTTTCGAAAATACTATGCAAACTTCCAAGACTGATGAAAACAAACAACGTCCTGTTAAAAGAATCAAATGTAACGCTGATGATAATCATCTACGAGAAGATCGATTTATTTTTAGTCCTATGAATGCTGAACGTCCATTTGGTGGATTATACGGATGGATATCACCTTTCATTAGAGAGACAATGAAATATCTAGATATTAGACCACATCAATTACCCTCGACTAATGAAGTAATTGTTCCTATGATTGTAACAAAAGCTGCTGATGGCATTATCGAAGAAGCTAAACGGATTGGAAGAAAAATTGAAGGTGAAGAATTAGCAAGATTTTTATTGGATAAGAAAGATGCAGGAATGGAAGAAGTATGGGAACGTTGTGCTTATATGTATACTTTACAAACCTTTTTGTACAAGATAATAGGTGAGGCTATGCGTTGGATAGGAAGTGAAAAATTTGAGCGCCGTTGGTTCGATAAAGTGCGTACATTAGGACCATTCTGTTTACTTTTATGGGATAATCCATACTGTTATGAACCGACAAAAAATGGAACAGTACTATATAGAGGAATTAAGATCGATGATGATATAATTAGTGCTTTTCAGAAGGAATGTTCGAAAAAAGAGAAAACATTGTGTTCTCTTCAAGCATTCACTTCATGCAGTCGAAATCGAACCAAAGCTGAAGAATTTGGCAATGTTTTATTTATAATGACAATTAAACACGCTTTTACTGTAGATCTTCAGCCTGTGTCCTATTATCCACACGAAGAAGAAGAATTAATTCTTCCTGGTGTTTGCTTTACGGCTGACCGTATGGAATTTGATAAACGCACAAATAAACATGTAATTTACTTGAATCTTATACAACAGCATCGGCGTAAGTCAACATATTTCTTTTATGTGCAATATTTTGCTTATTTTATCTTACTATTCTTGCGGGACAAAATATTCGTTTATACGATGCAAAAATATTATTTTTTTTTCAAATATAGTATTTGATCTAGGAATAATCTGGAAGTAGTTATAAAACGATTTAAATAAGTAAATTCTTTATAGTTTCCTGTAACAATCGTAATTAAAAATTACAATGAATTAGGTTCTTGTACAGTGATAGATAATCAATGTTTCATTGAATTTTTGTATAAAACATTTCTGGAGAAAATACTATTAACCATTCATAGAAATATTCTTTTTTATGTTCATGTATATGAATCTATAAATATCTGCTTTAGGAGACGACGATTATCAAGTGTCAAGGTATTCTGTCAACTCAAAACGTCAGGGTGATGCTATTTCTCGTACTTTTGATGCTTTTACTCGTGATTTTCGTGATGCTGCTGCTCATGATGATGATCTTTTTCTTCGACTTGGCAATCGTGGTCGTCCTGGTTTTCTTCGTCGTGCTGTTGATCGTCTTTTTCGTCGTCGTGAAGGTATTTGTCGTACTGGTTGTGAAGATGATTATGATTAAATTTTTAAAATTTATCACGACTAAGTTACATATAATTATTTGTTGCATTTTTTCCCCATCTAATTACAATATATGCATTGATCTGTTGTTTAGTAATGATTTTTGGAAATAAAACTGAATAGAAAATTTTTTCTAATAAATATTTAACTTTGTAAATAAGAGTTGACTAATAATTTTACGTCGTAAATTTGAATTGGCGTAGATAAATAATATACAGTACACAGACAAATATTTTCACATTATAATTTTTTTAATTCTTATTCATTAATAGCAAAATAATAAGTATATAATACACATCAGACGTGATGAGAGTAGATGAAAAAATAGCATATAGGTTCATTAATTTTGGTAAAACAACAACTATTAATTTCTGTTATGTGCTAGTTTGCCATCAGAATCCATATAATCTAATATTTAGTATGTATTAATATGATTTAAATAGAAAATATACTATGTGAACATTAGTTATCTCTTATTACTCTTGATTATCATCATTGACATGAAGTGTGTAAATACAGTGAATATGTGAGGTTGTTATTGAAATTAAAAGTACAAAGCAAAATTCTTTGGATATTAAAAACAATTAAATATTTAAAGATCATTAACAGAAATCAAAAATTTTCAACTAAGTTTGACGATGTTTAATCAACGAAACAATCAATAAAAGAAATAAATGAAAAATGAAATTTTATATATTAGATTATAAACTGCGAATAATATATTTTTTCTTAAATATAATATTCTGTATTATTATTTAGATTAAAGTAAAAATACGTCATTTTTTATAGAATGAAATATGAAAAAATTCGCTTCTGTTTTTATTATGTCGCTATACTATTAATGAATTTTTTTTAAATTTAAATATATACTTTATTCTCTAGTCGATACGTAAATAAATATTTGCTAAAGTGCAGTATTGATTTGGTTAATGATTTAGAAAAGTAGCTGCAATGAATTTTCTACCAATAGAAACATACAGGTATATATTAACAATTGTTTCTTATTATTATATGATGTAATATGAGTTCATTATGTCATACGTGTATTGATAACATCATAGTTAGTCTTATATTTATTATTTCTTCATTATGATACTTCATGGTGTGAAATTTAATATCAGACATGTAGTTCTCATGTATCTTCGTCGCCTTCATGTTTTTCGATACTAGTACATATTGGTATGAGTGAATGTATATAAATTATGTTTATAATCATGATTCGAACAACATAGTTAGTACTTTGTTAACGAGATAATGACCATGAATATTCTTTATTATGCAGAAAATCTTTGTATGTTTTGCCAATAATTCATAGAAACATCTCTTGTGTTGGAATTAGCTGTGATAATATTATATATTCTTGGAGTAGTTCTATCTGAACTCATACCAATTTACTACCAAATAATTCAGCTTTGATGGAAAATTGATTTTAAGGCTAAACAAAAAATTCTTTGAGATAAATTTTTATGAGTGAAACTTTAGTTTTATCTAATATTCATATTAGATAAAATGATGTTAATAATACCATGTTTCATGCTTCTTTTGTATATGTTCGTATTTGAATTGATCTTAATGCTTCTCATCGTTATCTCAGCCAATCAAATAATAAAAAAATCGATAGTCTTCCTACTATAAATAGGTATTCCGTTGTTTTTTTACTAATTATGTTTAATCAACATCTATTTTTCTATCTATTTGGTTATTTTCATTGAAAAAAATGATCGTACTATGTTGTTGTTACATAATACTTTAAAAGAATTAATAAATCTAAGTTAAATACATGCATTCAATGATTATGTTTTTTGTAAATATAATAGATAACGTGATCACATGTCAGAGGGTATTCTAACAATTTGTACTCTTTATATATACACACCCACACCTTTTCTTTCTCCTATTCTATCGTCCTATACAAATTCAAGCCAGTTGTTTTCGTCGCCCATCAGAATCATTGAAATTCTCATAGTTTGTCTCTTACTACTTTTTCTTCTTACTATACTCTTGATACAGAAGATGCAGAACGTTTTTTCTTTCTATTTAAACTTATAATTTTTTTGTCTGTCATATTGTATTTTAAATATACATTTAGTCTGACTAGAACGTTATAATTTGATTGCTGTCTTTCTTCTTTGTACTGTTTCACCGATGATGAGTAATCATAAAAACAACGTAATTATCATAGTAACTATAAACAGTATTGCAATATATACTTTTTCTCCTATCATAGTATCTATAAAAACAAGCTTTATTTTCGTTGTTTTTAATCTCTTAAACAGGTATATAACGATAAGAAGGTAGGTTGTACAGTCAAAATACAAGGGTAATAAACTCATAATATATAAGTATTAAATAGAATTTAGAAGAAGAAGAATTCTTTTTTTTCTGTTTGCTCTAGACATATTTGTCTACAAGCGATGTATTATTTCTTTTAATAAGCTTTTGGTTGAAGATTGTTTTTAATAGAATTAAAATTCGTATGTAAAAAATTGAAATTCGTTCATTAAAACTAACCAATAAGTTTTTTTCTGTATGCATATATATATCGAGTAAAAGTTTGATGTAACTATTGCTCTATTTGCCTTCAATATTCTTCTCTGGCGCGAAAGAGAATGATGATAAAAAGCGTGTCACGCGTTTGCTCTCTCTCTTTCGCTCTATGCAACATAAGAATATAATGCATCTATGTGTTAGCGATGAAGGACGAGCATAGGCAAAATTACAACCGCTTTTTTTTCCTTCTTGTTAGAGAACGAAGGAAGAAAAATGTTGTGAGACACCACGTGCGCAAAGAAATACCATAGTTCATCAATCTTTTTTTTTCTCTGTTGCAGAATAAATACTAGAAAAAATAATGGCAACAAAAGAAAACCAAAATAATATTACAATACCTCATGCCGATATTTTATTAATGATCGTGGGCACGAGAGGTGATGTCCAGCCGTTCATTGCGTAAATTATAATACTTATTAATTAATTTAATTAATATAAAACTTTTTTTTTTGCGTATTTTATAGTCTCGGTCAAGTATTATTAAAAGCGGGTCATCGTGTTCGTATAGCAACACATGAAACATTTCGTAAATTTGTTCGTGGAAATGGTTTAGAATTTTATCCATTAGCTGGTGATCCAGCTGTTTTAATGTCTTTTATGGTGAAAAATTCAGGTGTTGTTCCTTCTGTTAGTAGTATTGTGGAAGGTGATCTATCAAAAAATCGTAAAATTCTCGGTGAAATTTTAGCATCAACATGGCGTGCTTGTATAGCTGATGATGATGAAACTGGAAAACCTTTTACAGCTGAAGCTATTATTGCTAATCCACCATCATTTGGTCATATACATTGTGCACATAAATTACTAATACCATTACATATTATGTTTACAATGCCTTGGTCACCTACAACAGCATTTCCACATCCACTAGTTAATGTTGATTATTCTCGTGCAGCTGTAGAAAAAGTTAATATGTTATCTTATAGTGCTATCGAAATGTTTGTAAGTGAATAATTATATAGGGATTAATATTAATATTTTATTTTAATAGACATGGTCGGGTATGCGTGATATTGTAAATGATTTTCGTAATAATGTATTAGGTTTACCATCATTACATACACGTCAAGCAACATATATGATGATTGAAGAAAAAGTGCCTTATACTTATTGTTGGTCACCATCAATTGTTCCTAAACCAGAAGATTGGGCAGATCATATTAATGTTTCAGGATTTTTCTTTCTGGAACATGATGCTACTGCAGATGATAAACAAAATGATGATTTAATTAAATTTCTTGGAATTAATAATAAAAAACAAGATAAATCAGTAACCGCACCAATTTATATTGGTTTTGGTTCAATTACAGGACATGATTCAGAACGTATACTTAAAGCTATAATTGAAGCACTTGAAAAAACTGGTGATCGTGCTGTATTACTTGGTCTTGCTAAAGATGACGATAAATTACCTGACAATATTTTCAAAGTTGATGCTATTTCACATGATTGGCTTTTTCCACATGGTTCGTTTCAATATATAGAATCAATATGTTTCTATTTTTTTGTATTTTAGTATCAGCTGTATGTCATCATGGTGGTGCCGGCACAACTGCTGCTGGTATTCGTGCTGGTAAACCAACAATTATTGTACCATTTTTTGGAGATCAATTTTTTTGGGGTAAAATTATTGAAAAACATGGTTGTGGTCCACATGCAGTACCTGGAAAAGATATTACTGTTGATGATTTTATTGAAGCATTTAAATTTGTTCATAAACCAGAAACAAAAGTTGCTGCTGAACGTTTACGTGATGCTATGTTAAAAGAACATGGCTGTGATGACGCAGTAAGTGCTTTTCATTCACATTTACCTATAGAACGTATGCGAAGTGATCTTGAATCAACTTATGCAGCATGTTATCGATTAAAACATTTTCATTTACAACTATCACGACGTGTTGCTCAAGTACTTATTATAGCAGGTCGTATTGATAAATCACAATTACGTCTTTTACCAACTCGTGATTGGCCTTCTATATATGATAATCGTGTTCATGTACCATTCCATGGCATTCTAAAACATTCTCATCAAGCTATTGTAGCAATATATTCTGATACATCAAATGGTTTTAAACAAGCTTTTCATTCTGATACTTGGTCGAAAAAAACTTATAGTGCTGTGGAAGGTCTTCTTCTTGGTTTAGGCAAAGGTCTTGGTCATCTATGTATTGGTTGTACATCTTTATACGGTGAAATAACAGATGCATTAGAAGTTGCTCCATCATATTATGATCCTTATAAGTATGTATATTCATTTAATATAATAATTATGTATATGTATCATTTTGTTTTTAGTGAAACTTCTACTGGAGAACGACCGGTTGTGACTAATTTTGAAACAGGTGTTCACGCAGCAATTCTTTCTCTTTATCATGGATGGAAAGAAGGTATTATAGATATTGTACATACACCAACTATTGGTTATGAACGTCAAGGAAGATTAGGTGGTGTAGCTGGAGCATTAATAGGTCTTGCTAATGGAATAGTAAAACCTGTAGCTGGAACTTTTTCATCATTAACTTGGTTTTGTCGAGGTATCTACGCACATATTAAGAATAATGCTTTGACTGACAAAGGTCTTGAATCATCTCCTGTTCATACACTTGGTCTCGATTCAACGAATATTAATAAAGAACGAAATCAACATTCTAAAAATATTAATCAAACTGCATCTGATATAACTGGTTTTTCACCTGAAGTATGTCAACGAATTATATCTGAATTTGATGATATTCAAAAACAAAATAAACATTATCGTTCACATGAACATAAGTCTCGATAATTAATTACTTACTATTATATACATATATAAATATGCATCTTTATACTCGCAAGAACAGTCTATCTTCTGATATTTTCTCATACTTCTTTTGCTTTAAGTTTTTTTATGTTTGTAATTATATAAAGCGATGTCTGTATTAGTTAATTAATCAAGCTAGATATGTTTGTTTTTGAATAAAGAAAAAGATTTCTATAGGAGTATTTTATTAAAAAAAAATTATATATTACATTCTTATATAAAAATCTTGTCTTGATTGTTGTATTTCATCAAGTCTCTGTTTTCCTGCTTCAGATAAATTACAATTATCAATCCATAATTTTTTTAATGTTTGATTTTGTTGAATCATCGGAATAAGATAATCAATACTTGTATCAGTTATTAATTTATTCGAAGAAAGTACTAACATTTTAAGTGTATTATTTTGATTTTCAAGTGTTTTAGCTAATAGTCGAACTCCATCATCACGAATTTGATTTTCTTCAAGATATAACCAACTTAATGTATGATTGATTTTAAGTAATTCAGCAAGATATTCTGCACCTTGATCAGTAATTCCATTATTTCGAAGAACAAGTGTTGTAAGAGCAGTATTATTATTAGGAATTGAAAGTATTTTAACAAGAGAATTGACTCCATTATCAGATATATAATTATTTCCAAGTTTTAATGTTTCTAATGTATGATTATTATTTAGTGCATTAGCTAAAATTGAAATACCAATTGATGTAATTTTATTTGATTGTAAAGAAAGTAATTGACATTGCTTATTAATAATAACTTGTTTAACTATTATATTCATATCTTCATCGATTAATTCCATTTCATCTAAACATATTGATGCATGATTATTATATTGTTCAAGTTTTTGTTCAAGTTTTATATTTTGATATTGTGGAAACTCTAAAAACAAAAAAAAGAAACAAATCAAGAATATATTATTTCATGTATTTTACCATTATGAAATTCTGTTGCTACTATTGACCAATAATCCTGTTCGGATATTGATAAATAAGTTAAATTTTCATTCGTATGCAATAATTGTAATTTAGAAATATCATCTTCATTCAGCTGACTATTGTAAAATTCAAGATGAATTAATGAATGAAGTTCTTGACAAGCATGAATAATTGCTGTCATTAATTCATGAGATATAATTGATTGAGATATACGTAAATGAGTTATGAAAGTATCATGTAATAATGAATCGATAAGATAAGTTTCATTTTCATTTGACAATTCTATATGATAAACATGAAGACGAAGATGTTTAATAGATTTATGTTTTCGTAAGATTTTTAAAAGTTCAATAGTACCGGTTTTATCATCGGCAGATGTATGATCCATAATATCAAGTTCTACTAATGTATTATTTTGTTGAATTGCTTGACAAAGAGTATATAGAGTTGAAGATGAATTTAACCAAAAACTTAATTTTAATCGACGTAATAAAAAATTTGAAGTGAGAATTTTATTTAAAAATTCATTATTCATAAAATGACTGATGGATAATGTTGTTAATTCTTGATTATCTTTAAGAAAATTTTGATCATTTATTAAAAGATCATAACCAAAAATATTTAATGTTCGACATATTTTATTTTGTTTTAAAATTTGAATAAATAATTTAATAGATTCATTTTGATTATTTGTAGAAAAATGAACTTTTAATGATTGATTTTTAAAATAAATTTCGATATGATCACAAATAAATTTTGATATACCTTTCCATTTACGAACTTCAATAGTAAAAATAACAAGTTGATGTATAGAAGAACGATTAATAATTGTATCAAATAATTTATCAAGATCTTTTATATCAACTGAACAATTTTGAAGAATAAGAGTTAACATTGTAAAACCATTTTTTAAAGCATCACAAAATAAATTCACATGTTTTGTTGTTAAATTTCCTGTTAAAATAGCTTCTTTTCTTTGCATATTAAATTTTCCACCTATAGATTCAAATTGTCGAATATATTCCGACATTTTATTATTAAAACCAATAGTATTATAATGTTCTAAACAAACCCATCGTACATGACCATTATCAGTTATAGTTCGATAAAGATTTCCTAAACTATGTTTATCATCTACACGATCTAAAAAGACTTCAAGTTCACGTAATTGTGCACCTTGTAATGGAGTTTCTGGTAGTATAGCTTTTTGAATCATAGATGAATCAATATGTGTAACTTCAGTATTAGTTTGATCGAGTACTTTTTCAACAACATCTAATTTATTATTAACATCATCATAATTTGTTGGTTCTTTGATAAATCGTGGTAGAGTATTAGCTACGACAGTTGATATATTTTCTGATTGAGGAATAATAAAACCTCCTATTGAAAGTAAACCTCGAGCAATTTGTAATGTTGTTCGTAAATAAGAACCATAATGAGCAATAAATTCTTTTGGTTGCTTAATTGTATATCCATCATGTGGAGCAATATGTAATTTATCAGGTTCATCCGAACATTCACATAAGAAATATAGTTTATATTGAAGAAGAAATAAATTTTGTATACCATTTATCGATGTCCAACTATGATCATTAACTGGAAGAATAATAAAATAATGTGGAGTTGTATATTCATGTAATTCATACATTAATGTCATGAGATGTTTTATTCGATGTAGAGTTTCTTGTGTATTAGCAAGTATAAGATCAGTCTTTTTATTCATCTCTTGCATTTTTGTATCAATACGATTAATGAATGTATGAACTACATCATTAGATTTTCCAATAGGTTCAATAGCTTCAATAATTTTATCTGGACATGCTTCAATACGTAAGGGAGTAAGTTGAATACCATTATTATCACGAAGAAAAGCTAATTGAATATTATCAATACATAGAACAGTAATATATGGAAAACGATGTTGTACATCTTCCAAACATAAACATTCAATACCATTAAAGACAATTGTTTGAATTTGCACAAGTGTATCATGAAAACGTACTGATTGATATCTTATTTTTGGATTAATTTGCTCCATAATATTGTATTCAGATAGTTATAAGACTTACATATATATATTCGAAATTCTAGTAGGAAGAAAATTGTCATATGATGTATATAATTGAGTTTTTGACAACAAAGAACAACGTGACAAATTTTTATCTGTTCTACGTTGTTGTCTTTTTCTCCCTCTGCTATTGATAACGAGTTTACTTGTATGATGTAATCATATATAAATAACATTTTTACATAGCGAAAAAAAATAAATGAATCAAGATTTTAGAAATTTTATTTTATTCAAGTCCAAAGATTCTTCTACCTAATGGAGTAAGATCTGTGTTAGGGTCGATATTTGCTTCTTGAAGTTCTGCAAGAATTGCTTGACGTCTATATTCTGCTCGTTCTAATGTCATAGCAGGATGTTGTGTAGGAAACATTTTAAAAAATTGTGCAAAACGAGGACGTAGACTAGCATTTGCTCGTGAGCCATGCATCGTACGTTGATCCCATAAAATAGCTGAACCAGCACGTGTAGAAATATGACAAGCAGCAGCGTACATATCAGGAATATCATCTTTATCAAATAGAAGAAATTGATAGTGTCGCCCAAATTTCTTGCGTAATGATTCATGTTCGACTGCCCATTGCGCGATATATTTATGAAAACCCGGTACAAGCCAAAAACCACCATCCTCTTCTAAGTTATCAGCAAGATTAACTAAACCTTGTACATTCAATTCTCCTACTGCTGCACAACCAGGTTCATTATTCTCATCAATCCAATCATCATCAGATTTATATTGCAATTCGGAAAGAGCTTCCAATTGATGCGTATTGTCTTTATCTAAATTATATATAAGAAATAATTCTAAACTATATATGATTAAAAGCAAAAGTGATAATTAACCATCAATGTAGTTCCATGGATTCATATCTAAATGAAGATTGGTCATTGTTGCACGTTTAGGATGTTCTTTTGCAGGTCGAAACATTCCATAACGATCATGATTAACAAGAAGATTTTCTGTTTCTAAAATAGCAGCAAAAGCAACATGCAAAGCTGATATCTGTCGATTTAGTAAAATTTGTCGTGTCCATAAACTAGCATTACCAATAATACCTTCTTGTACAAGACCAGTTCTATACCAATTTCTAAAGTACGATAACAAAAGAATAAATCAAGTAGTTTTGGGAATTTATAAAAGTATACTGTGAAATCCATTGATTTTCATCATTTCGCAACGATTTTCCAGTACAGGATTCGATTACATTCCATATATCGGAGATAGTTGTTGCACATTGCTCTGGAGTAAAAACATTTGCAATAACTACAAAACCGTATTGTTTGAAAAATGCACGTGCTTCTACAGCTTCAGAACAATTATAACTCGAGAGAGCAAAGCTTTTAACATATCCCTCGGAATCTCTTGGTATGACAAGAGGTTGAAATGTATTATTCGAACCATCCATTACAAAAGGTAGAAAGAAAGAACACTCGCATCATTGTTATATATGTAAAAATAATGAAAAGAATAGATGAAATTATGATTCATTTCATATGATGTAATTACATTTTTATTGAATCATGATATCTTCACATCGTAAATAGATGAATAATCATGCTTCAAACTCTCCGTTATATGATTTAACTAGCAAATTCGATTGTAAAATAAAGTTCTCTCTATTCTATTATTTTCTTTACAAAAACAAATATAAAATAAAATATTTTTCTAAATATAAAACTATCATTTTTTCACATATTTTTTTTCTCTAAAATATTTTAATTGTCATCAGGCTGAATTGTATGGTGGAATATCCGATGGACGAATGTTAGCATTTTCTAATAGTTTAGCAAATGCAGAGTTTGGATTTGCAGCTAGACGCATTGGTTCATCAAATTCTTCTACACAACCATTGGATAAAACAAGAATTCTATATTAATCAAAGGTATTATTTATGAAATACTAGATAAAATAGAATATTTATATACCTATTACTATCTAAAATTGTATGTAATCGATGAGCAATAGTTAATACAGTTGCGTCTTTAAATGCAGATCGAATTGTTAGTTGAATCAATCGATCCGTTTCCATATCGATCGCTATAATCATATAGTTCATAAATGAATAATTAAAAATAATAAATAACAACGTTTGACTTACCAGCAGTTGCTTCATCAAGTATAAATATTTTACTTTTTCGTAAAAGTGCACGTGCTAAACATAATAATTGTCTCTCGCCAGCACTAGAAAAAAAATTAGCCAAGTGGTTATGAATATAAACATGGAATATGCTTCGCTTTACCTCATATTTTGACCTCCTTCCGCTAGTAAATGTAATAAACCATCATCCATTTTAGCTATACGTTGTTTCATATGTGTTAATTCTAATGCATGCCAGATCTCTGTATCACTATAATTTCCAAATGGATCAACATTAAATCGTACAGTACCAGCAAAAATAACTGCATCCTAGAGAATGAAAATTTCATATGTATTTTATTGAGTATACGAAACTATTCTATTTACTTGAGGAATAATCGTCAATTTTGATCGTAAATCATGAACACCAATAAGACGAATATCAACATTATCAATCATAATTGTACCATTAGTCGGTTCAATAATACGAAATAAAGTCAAACATAAACTACTCTTTCCACTACCTGTTCGACCAATGATTCCAATCTAAATAATTTTTATTTATTGATATAAGATTTTGAATATATATATTTTCTTACTTTTTCTCCTGATTGAATATCAATAGTCAAATTTTTAAGTACTAATTGTAAATTATTTCTATATCGTGTTGATAAATCCATGATTCTAGAAAAAATATGAATATCTAAAGTTGTAAAATATATAATTTAAATAATATACTGAATATTTCCATTAGCGGGCCAATAAGATGGCGGTTTTCTATCTGGAATTTCCCATGGAGCTTCAGGAGTGAGTTCTGCATATTCATTGATACGTTCTACACTAGTAATATTTGCTTCAATTTCACTTGATGTACGAACAAGTAGATTAAGAGCATGTGTAATTTGAATAGCATATGTAATCATTAGACCGACAGTACCTGCTGTTAAATGAGCACGCATAAATACAGCAGTAATTGCTGTTAATAATGTCAATAGATTACCAATCATTTCAAGACGAATACCAAGCCATCTAATAAAAAGAAGTCTAGATATTAATTCAAGGATTATGATCAATATTTCAAACCTATTCGAAACTGAACTAGCAAAATGACATGATTGATTTCTATCCATGAATTTATCTGATCGATCAATAAAACGTTGTTGTACATGATAAGCACGAATTGAACTAAGACCTTGGATTGTTTCACCAAAATTTGCATAGATTGAACTACGTGTAACTGAATCAAGACGACGAAGTTGTCGAGAAGTTGATACATACATACGCTATTATCAATACATAAATATTATACAAAAAAAAAAATATATTTTACTTGAACGAAAGCGAAAAGAATCGCCAGCGGTATAAGTTCAATAATCGCAAACCATGAACCATAGATAAGTATAATAAATGTAGTAACAACTATTATAAGTGTAGTTAATGCTTGAGAGAAAGCGCCAGGTAGTACAGCATCTACAGCATCGATATCTTTTGCAAAACGATTAATAATACGACCAATAGGTGTTGTATCAAAAAAAGACATAGGTGCATGTAATACTCCGATTAGAATAGTCCAATGTAATTTCCGACTAGCAATATATGCAGAAAATTTTTGAATTAATTGTATAGCAAATGCAAGAAAACCTTGAAGAATGAAAATGATGATTTAAGAAAAAATAAAATGAATGTCAGGATATGAATAATTACCTTGGGTTATACCCAATGTCGAATAAATAATCATATTATGAATTTGATTATTGAATGATGTTGATGTATTATTATTATTATTATTTATTGTGGTGTTTTTTTGTTTTACTTGATCTGTCCATTTAGATAACCAAATATTTGAACTTAGAGAAGCACATACAGTCAGACAGAAGAAAACAAAGATGAATATAATCAATAATAATTTACTAGCACGAATATAAATTGAAAAAATATTAAATTTAACCTATAATATAGCATAAAGAATATTTTCTATTGAAGATTATTACTTACAGAACCTGTTTGAATAGTTTCTTTTTGAATAATCTTTTTCTTGTCGTCTTCAATTTCAATAGAAATTGGTTGTAATAATTCTGGTGCACCATCATTTTCATTGATTTCAAGTGGATTATCAATCAATTCTAATGGAGTCATTGGAACACTGATCGAACCTTTTAAAAAATAATAAACTTATCATCTTTTCAATAACATTTTTTTCGAACTTACTAGCATCACTTCTAGAACGTATATATCGACTTGAATCAGAGGTATCAACTGAATGTAAAAACTCTTGTAATATATTATCTCGATGCATTAAATCATCGTATGATCCATGATCAATGATTTCACCTTGAGAAATAACAAAGATTTCATTACATTTATATAAATGTGATACACCATGAGTTACAAAAACACGTGTCTATTTAAAAATAACAATATATCCAAAACTTTCTATAATTATTCAGAAATATTTACTTTATCTCTCAATATTCCTTTTGGTCCAATAACATGTTTGAAAATATGAGCACCAACATGTGCATCAACAGCTGATAATGGATCATCGAATAGATAGATATCAGCATTACTATATAATGCTCGAGCTAATGATACACGTTGTCGTTGTCCACCTGATAAATTAATACCCTAGAATAAATCAAGATTTATCTTATTGATATATTTATATATAATTATATACTTTTTCACCAATTTCAGTTTCATCTTTTGCAGGAAGCATATCTACAAGAAATCATTTTTATATAAAAAAACTCTTTCATTTTTTACCAAGATCTTGTTTTAAAGCGCATGCTTCAATAATTTCATTATACAATTTCTTATCAAATTCTCTTCCAAATACAATATTTTCTTGCAATGTTGTATTCATAATCCACGCTGTTTGAGGAACATAAGCAATACTTCCACTGACATTTACACGGCCACTAACTTTATTCATTTCACCTAATAATGCTGCTAAAATACTACTTTTACCAGAACCAACCATACCAACAAGTGCTACAAGTGAACCTTGATCAATTTTAAGATTTATACTATCAAAAGAAAAGATATAATGTATAAATTATAATTGTATTTATTAACTTGTTTAAAATCAATGGATCTTGTACATTATCTGACCAACGAAATGAACCATTTTCGATTTTAATTGATTTACCATCTAATAATTTTAGAACTAATCAATATTTATGATCAATAAGACGAGATTTACCGGAACTAATAGGTACCCTATCAACAGCATTTTCATCAAGTTCCTCATTGTTTAAAAACTTTTGAATTCGTTTATTTGAAACACGTGCCTGAGCGAAAAAATAAAACAAGAAAATGACTCCTTCAATTAAATGTCTTCACTTACTTCAACAACACTACTAATTACATTTGGAAAAACAACCAATGGTCCACGAAGTAGATTAAATAATGCTAATGATACGAATGCTTTATCAGCTGTTAATACATTTGTTTCTGACGAAAGAACATAAGTAGCAAAAGTTGTAATACCCACCAAAATTGGTGTAAATGTCCAGAGAATATTTGATATGGCACTAACAATTGCTTTGCGTCGTATATACTGAAGTTCTTTATCTCTAATATGAGTGATCGAACGTATAAACGCCATTTCCCATGCGTACAACTTTAAAACTCTAATTCCATTTAATATTTCGTTCATTGTTTTAATTCGTTCATCTTTCACTTTCATTTGTTTAGACTATATTATTGATACAATTATTTTTTTAAAATAATATTTATCGTGTTTTTTTCTACGTACAGTTAGTTTTTTCTGAATTCTTTGCAAATATAAATTAGTTGGAATCATGATAAATAATAGCACAATGCCAGGAATTATTGCCCATTGCATTTGTCGATAGAGTAAAACAAATGCGATAATTAATTGAAATGGACCTTAATAATAATTGATGCTATGAGGATATGTCTTGAATAATAAAACATACCAGACCATAATGTATGAATATGATGAGTAACTTCAGCAAATCTTGAAGCATCAATTGCCATCTATTAGATAAAAATAGAGAGATGATTATTGATAGAAAAAGAATTTTTACGAACTAAATTCACAATTTCACCAGTAGTAGCTTCTTGTTTGGATGAATTTGATAATTTCAAACTCTGTCAAAAAGGCAAATATATGTACATATAAATGATAAATAATATATATATGATAAATAACAAACCTTACGATATACAAGTCCAGTAATTGCTGAACGAAATCGAAGTCCAACCATAAATTGAGTTTGAAAATAAGTTCGTGTAAGAATTATTTGAATAAAAACAGCTACATTAAGTAACATTGCATAGAAAATACCTAACCATTTCGGTTTAGTTGGATCGGCAAAAAAATTTAAGAGAAGTCTAAATGAGACTATTTTTGAATGAAATGAAAAATCAGATACGATTTACTTTAAAATCATAGGAGCACTAAATGCTGTAATATCACTGAAAAGTTTAAGAAGACCACCAACAATTAATCTATCACGATATGCATGAAAGAGTGCATGCGAATATATAACTTTTTTTTGACGTTTGATCGATGGGTTTTTCACATCAACTACTGGCTTTAAACAATTTTTGTAATAGTAGAATAAAAATTAAATATTATATACAACTTACCACACCATTAAGCTAGAAAAGAGATACGAATTAATTCATTTTGAATTCGTAAAGATCATATTGACTACTTACCAAATTCTGATGTTCTTCTTCTGATTGATTTACATCTGTCTTTTTATATGAAATATTTTTTGTTCGACTATTTAAGAGTAAATACAAAGACAACTCATAAATAAAAGAATATTTACCTTTTTATATAATTCTGTACTTGTTGAATAATGGTAATTGTTTTTTCGGATGATGCTAATTCCCAACAATCTTTTTCTGTTAGTGGCTTTTTATAACCTTGAACAATTAGTGGTGTTACCCATCCATATAAGATTCTCGATGGAAAACTTGCATAAAGTTCAGGAACAACAGCCTATAAAATTCATTTATTTTTATACACAGAAGAATTTAGTCATACTCTTTCATTAAGTGTTGTTTCTAAATTAATATATTTTTCTGCAAAACAATTTGTAATAAATAGACTAAGTACAACGAAAAAAATAAACCAAACATTAATAAGCTCAGTCCAGAATGCAATCGATATAATCTACAACAATAAATATTATATTTATATAAAAATGTTCAGAAAAATGTGATATACTTCTTGATGATATATAAATATAGAATAATCAATAACGTCAGGTATACTAACTACAGAAACTAATAACCAAAATATGAAGAGTACACCAGAAGAAAAAACACCCTTGAGTCGATCATAATTCATAAGCCAAAGTATCGTAACTCCAGTGATTATATACAAGATTGGAGTAAGTAAATAAGCATAAGATTTTTCACTTGTTAATAATATAGCATAATGAATAATGCGAATAATTTGACCAAGTAAAAATAGACCGGTAAGAATCTATAACAAACAGTATCAAAAATCTTTGTATCTGCCTTTTTACTAACTATAGTATTTATAAATAGTTACCATTTTCGTAATAAATAAAATAGAAACTACAAGCGGTTCTGATTTGAATTGTCGTTTCGATAGTACATACAGCCATACGGGTAAAATCAACCAGAAAATACTTATAGGTACCCATTGTAGAATTGTATTACGAAAACATTTAGTTAAATATGGATATGGAGAACTAGTTACATTCTTATCCTGAAGAATATTGAAATAAAATAAAACAATTTACAAAATGATATATATACCCAGAGTGGTGTTGTACATAGATAAATCATATCTAGAATATCGAAAAGTTGTTATAAAAACAACATGATAATATATACTTATATATTACATACGTGTGGTTTTAAATAAATATAATTATTACATATAATACTTTATTTATAGTCGTGCACTATATCAATAAACATACGTGAATGTACTATAAATTTTGTTTTTGTCCTTAACTTTCTTTTTTCGTGGCTTTCATAATTATTATTTGCAGCTAAAAAAATTATCATTGGTAGGAAAGAAAAAAAAATGCTTTGGAATTAAAAGACATACACTCACGAAAAGGATGTAAACTTGTGTGAGACGTATCGTGGTAGTAATTTTCTCCGTCGACAAAATTAGAAAAAAAAAGAACGAGAAAAAAATAGGTCGCAATAGAACAGAAAAAGAGAAACCAAGCATGTGCGTTTAAAAAAGTATATGACATCGATGATATGTTCACAAATGGGTTGAAACGATGGTTTGAACATCTATAAAAATAGAAGAAAATTATAACTTGTTGGACGATAAAAAAAAACGACATACTAAAAAGAAGTAAAACAAGGAAACTTCTCGTATAAAATTAACAAGTTTTTACTATCTTTAATTTCAAGCTCAAATCCTATTCTCTACGATTTTTCAGTAGGCAATCGAGTTTTTCTTGACAAAGTATAGTTGTCAATGATTATTTTGTAAATTAATATAGCGTTTTAGTGTATTCTTTTTCTATTGGATGTATAATGTTTTCCTATAAATGGCATCTGATGACTTGATTCTTTATATTTACATATTCTATAGTAGTATTATTTCCTTTGATAGTACTCTTACAACTGTAATTTATTAGTTATAAATGAAATGTTTAGAAGTATGAAAATAGATAAATTTTAATTTTGTTCAGATATTGAAAGCAATGCTTGAGTTTCGTCTGTCGTTGTCATTACGAAATCATATCGAATTAACCAGTCTTGTTCATCAACATCATATTTCTTGGCAATTGCTGTGTCTTCTACCTTTCCGATATCTACAATAAGATTTTTTTTAACACCAAAAACAGCATCACATGTTATATACGGATCATCTTGAAGGTATAAAGCCGTGACTAAGTCTGTATAATCACCTTCAGGAATCCAGATGCGAAAATGTATATGTGCTGGACGATAAGCTTGTCGATTAAGTTTTCCTAAGAGTTTTCCAACGGGACCATCTATGGGAACAGCATAAGATACTGGTTTAACACATTTAAAATAAAATTCTCCATCTTTATTTGTAGTAAGACGACCACGCATATCGGGTTTATCTCGATTTTTATATTGATTATCATAAAGTCCATTACCATCTGTTTCCCAAACATCGATTTTAGCTCCATGAATTGGTTTTCCTTTTGTATCTTTAATAGTAGCTAATACAAGACATATTTCTCCTTTACCAGGTGATGCAATACTTTCACCATTAACTACATCTTCTGCATCATCAGTATAGAATGGTCCTAAAACAGTCGATTCTGTAGCATTTGATGGTTTTGGATTATTTAATGCATCGACAAGAACGCTGACTCCCAATATATCATTTAATAAAATAAATTCTTGTCGAACATCATTAGAGATTTGTCCACATTTAGTTAAGAATTGAATTGTTTCTGTCCATTCTTCAGTAGTTAATTTCGTTTCACGTATATAATCATGAAGATGATCAGCTAATTTTTCCATTAAAAACTTTAGTCGAGGATTGGGTGTTTGACTGTTAACAAGCTTTATGTTCTTAGTAATATTATCAACTGTTAAATCCGTAAGTTGTGGAGATGTATTAGATACAACATAATTATCTGTCGACATCTTTGTAACAATTGATATATGTAAAGCAGTTGAAATAATTCTCAATGCGTAGATAAGAAATGTTAGAGTTGACCAAGGCTACATATTCTTTCTTCTCTTTTTCTCTTTGTTTCCCTGGATATGATATCGAAAGATATCACATCATCTTTCTATTCTTATTCTTTCTTCTCTTTTATTCCCTGAGTGCGCATGATGTATATATATAAACGTATCCTAGTGAAGAGAGTAGAGAGAGGTGTGTGTGTGTACATGTGTATGTGTGTGCGTGTGTTTATAAAGAATAAAGTAAAGTGATTCCAAAAGGAATCTTAACTCTAATAAGAAACAAGAACAATGTGAATATTTTATCTCACCATCGTTATAGAACGAATAATTTTATCTTAAGATAGAATGTATGTTTTACATTGTCTATACAATAACAACTCTTACTTGTCGATATTTATCATCATAGAAGATTATGAAACAAAAAACATTCATTTCTATAATGAGAGCTACAAAATTCAACAATAATTGATTAGAATCTTACAGCTTTCTTTTGTTTATTTCGAAATAGAGTGATAAGAGAAATATAGAACAGTACTATGACAACTGATATGACTTAACGTTATTGTACGACGTCTGTTCACTAGAAGGACTATGAATGTAGTCATAGTTATATAATCTAAGTAAAGATTTCGCATTGTTTATTCTAAATATCCATATTTTCACTATAAAAACTAGTTTCTACGATGATATAAGAAATAATTTACCTGTATTAGTTGTAAACGTAAAAAAATGTATATCTGTTGAAAATATCTAGAAAACAGAAGTGTACGTAGGATAGAATGATGAATGTAATACTTATTAAGTTTTGCACCACTTTTTTTCTAAAAGGACTAATTTCGATGAAAATACTCAAAAATTTATTAACTATTTACAATGTTTAATTCGATTTAATGCTTGTAAATTGAATGGGAAATGAATTTATATTGCAGAGATTGATCTAAGTTATTATCAAGTATTTATCCTTGCATAATTAATTTTATGTTAAATCTAATGGTAAAATGAAAATTAAGCAAATAATCGACTAGGTATTAACATATTAATGATAAAACATTTTGTTTTTGTTGAATTTCATATATGTCCTCACCAAATAAATATCAATGATATAAAATGTACTTGTTATTCTTTCTTTTATAATGCATCTTTTTTCGTTAATCTATGCTTAGTAAATATACATAATAATGATATTTACTTATCACCGTACTTTGTACTTGTTTTGTAACAACGAAATTGTCAATATTTATTGTTCGATCAATATATTTTGCATAAATATATCTTCATCAATAATCGTGAGACGGTTGTTTTAAAATACTAAAATTTAAATAGATATTTATTATCAACGATAATGGTATTACAATTGAATGAAGAATCAATAATAAATGACAAAAATCAGGTAGAGTAATCGAAAATTAGTTGTACAACAAACACATTCTATTTTTAGCTTGAATCATTTGATATAAAAATAAATAGTTTAGTAGAAGATCGATCTACAATCAAGTAAATAATATATACTCTATAATAGGGAATAAATAAATAAATATGTTTAGAAGTACAAAAATGTGGTGGAGCGGTATTTCTATTATTGTGGTTACTTTCGTTGCTGCAATAGTTCTTATGTCTACCATTCTTGTATTAAACAGAAAAACGAATGCAATTACAACAACAACAAAAATATTACGAACAGGTAGGACGTGAGTAATGATGAACGTGAGATTAATAATAAATATTATTTATAGGAATATCAGAAAAATATTATAAATCATCTTTTCGAATGATGACATACAATATTCGATTTGATACAGATCGAGATGGAATTAATCAATGGGCTTTTCGCAAAGATCGTGTAGCTAATCTTATTCGTTATCATGCTGCTGATCTTTTCGGTGTTCAAGAAGCTCTTCCTAATCAAATGTTTGATTTAAAAAATACATTGCCTGGTTTCGAATGGTATGGCGCAGGTCGTGATGATGGTAAAGATAAAGGTGAATTCTCTGCTGTATTTTATCGTAGCGAACGTTTTGAATTACTTGATAAAAATACATTTTGGTTATCAGAAACACCAGAACGTCCTGGAATTAAAGGATGGGATGCAGACGTTACGCGAGTGTGTAGTTGGGTGAAACTTCGTGATCGATATACTCATCAAATATTATATCATTTTAATACACATTTTGATCATATCGGAGAGATTGCCCGACGTGAAAGTGCTCATTTAATTGTCGATCGTATATACAATATAACTAAATTTCAAGCACCAGTAATTCTAACTGGTGATTTTAATACGGGACCTGATTCTGATCCTTATCGTGCTATTATTGCTAATTCTTCTCTTGAAGATGCAAAAGATCTAACAGAAATACCACATTATGGTCCAAATAGTACATGGTCTACATTCTTTGTTGGACAAGAGCTAGGTGATCGAATTGATTATATTTTTGTAACATCTCACTATTTGAGAGTATTACAGCATGCAGTTTTAACCGATTCCGATGCTCGATATTATCCATCGGATCATTTTCCTGTACTTGCAGAACTGAGCATTAAAACTCAAACTCATATTAACTAATATTTTTCACTTTTGTGCAAAACTTTTTGATCTCTATCCTATTATAATAACAACTGATTGCGCACTCTCAACTAATTTCAATCGAATGCGATAAGATGATGAATAAAACAAAAAGAAATAAAATTGATTCAAGAAAATATGCTTTTTAGCTTCATTTATTTTCTTGTTGCACTTTTATTCTAGAAATAAACTTTTTCTATCCAATTCTTTCATAAGCATTTTAAACAAAAAAGCAGATAATTTAACGAATAGCAATAAATATAATAATAAAAATTGTATTGCGATGGTTAACTAAATATAAAATCAATATTGTCACGTCTTGATGTCAGATCAAGGAGGGAAAGGAAAGAACATCTATATAACTAATGGGCAATCCATAATTGCATTTGTCGTTCATTTATTAATTTAAACGTAAAATTTTTTAAATCAGTATGTTTTTTTAACCATTGATCAAATTCATCACTACTATCGAAATAATATGAATGAATATGAACGGTAATATTTTGTAGATGTTTAAGATTTTCAATAAGTACTTCAAAATCTTCTTCATTATAAACGTAACAATTAAGTAAATGTTCAAGACAAGAAAATGATGAGCAAAATTTTTCTCGAACTTTTCTAGGCAAATATTCACATTTCATATCGAGCCATCGTATTTGTGGATACTCGAAATTCATCATCGGATGAAGATGATTATCGAACGATGATATAGTCAAACGAGTAAGATGAGGTGCAATGTTAACAAGTTGACTTAATATAGAAGGTGTAATAGTACATGTAACATCTAATTTTAAATGTACAAGAGTCGATAAATTATTGATATATCTTTCAACTTCGAATAAATCTGACATTGTGTAACATTCACTAGTTGAAGTAGCATGTTCTAATTCCAATATTTCAACATTAGAAATACGATTTTGTGGAAGAATAGATAATTCATTATAGGGTAAATTGATGGATATACTTTTATTTGATATAATTTCTTGTTTAAAATCATTAGATAACATATCAAATGGCATTACACCAATAGTAAATGATCGATGTCGTTGTGCATTATTTGTCCAATATGGTGTTTGAAATTTTTCAAGACGAGCTGTTATTCCGGGCAAGTTCGGTGAAGTATTGAAATCAACCTTAACAAAAAAAAATAATCAAGAATTATTTCTTCAAAAATGAATAAATTCAATTTTTACTCTTAAATGAAAAATCTTCAATTGAGGTAGAAATTCATCGATTACTGATTGCCACCAGTCACTATCGATCCATTGAAGAATATCCACTTGATTTCGATCAATATGAATATTTAAATAAATCAACATTGAACACGATTCAATAATTTGTTTTATTTCATGTCGATGACCATAACTAACTTTAATAGTTAAATGTGTTAATGAATGAGGTATATCAAATTTCGTAGTAAAATCATTATCATAAGATGATATGTTTAAACTGATAGTAAGTTTTTGTATATTTGGTATACGTTTTAAAATAAATGGAAGATTATCTATTGATCTTAAATCCATTTTAAATTCTTGAAGATTTTCAGCAATCGGTAAAGTTTTAAAAGTAAAACCGATATTTGATGACTCTTTATTTATAATAAGAGTATGTAAAGTACGAAGACAAAAAATTTTAGCAAATTTACTATCATATTGTTGTATTTGAACATATTGAAAAGAATAAGATGGTCTACGTATAATATCAATTGTAAGAGTATGAAGACGTTCCATTTGAGATAAATCAGGAAATTCTTCAAAATTTCGTATACGAAGATATTCAAGTCGAGTAAAACTCTGTTCAAATGTTGGAAAACGAGTAAAAAAAAGAGCCATCTGACCAGGTGTTTCTTCATCATCCGATAATGTCAATGCCATAATTTGATCAGGACGAAGTATTTTACATATTTGATCAAATTCATATTTACCTACTGATTTAAAGTTTATTTTATACTGTTCATAACTTCTTATACATTGTCTTAAATATCGACTGAAATTATAAAATGAATGAATAATTTCATTGGCAGTTAAATAAGTAAAAACATTGAAAATAAGTTCAACTGGAAATTGATCAAGTAGAAATTGTACACAAGGCATACTCTTATCAAGAAATTAACAAAATAAAGATGATATTGACTGTGTTTGAAATAAATATCGTCTAAAGAAAAATTATCTGCATTCCATAAACATCAAAAATAATAAATAACAATATCAGACGATAAAGAATACTTTCTGATGTTATTTTTGTGAAACATAAAGCAGAATGGAAAAAAACATCGTCTCTTCTCTTATTGTTTATTAACATATGGTATTGCACAACAGCACATTATTCCGTTCGACAAATAAGAGTTAAGAGTTTCTTTCAATATGTGGCAGCACATTACATATGAACATTTACTATATGACAAGTAGATTGTTTTATGCTCTAATTTTTTCTTTATATGTTTTCATATATATCTTCAGATAGAAAGAGAGAATGATTGTTATACAATATATAATAACGATATGAAAAATGTGAAGTACAACGTTGTGAACATCATATATTTATTTATTGTTTTCGATTGAGCATATGCAATAGGATGTTTCGAATTTGTTGAAGATTCTTATATAGTATAATGCAATATTATTATCGTATTCTACGTAGTAAAGAACGAAATTTGTTATATAATGATGAGAAATTCTTTGAAGACACGTGTCAGTTAGTCAATAAAAGTCGAAGGAAGGTAAAAGGACAAAAAAAAAGTTGAAGAAAATAAAATTTCTTCCAACAAAAAAAAGGCAAATTCCAAGTTACAGAATTTCATTACACATTCTTTATTTCAAAATCACAAAATGTTTAATAACTATCGCAATCAAAGCTCGCCAGAAAATGATATTAATATACTATTATTAGGTGAAACTGGTGTTGGTAAAACAACATTTATTAATGCATTTATTAATTGTCTATATTATAATACTCTTGATGATGCATTAAATGGTGAATTAAAAGTAATAATTCCTTCGTCATTTACAGTAACAGAAAGTGAATCATTTAATAGTACAAATATTGTTATTGGAACACCAGATAATAATGAAAATTTCGAGACTGACGGAGAATCATCAACTCAATCATGTCGAAGTTATAGTTTTCGTATAGGAAATCGTTTAGTACGTCTTATTGATGGGCCAGGTGTTGGTGATACACGTGGTGTAGATCATGAAGCAAGAAATTTTGAACATATTCTGCGTTATATAAATCAATATGAACATTTAAATGGAATATGTATTCTTTTGAAACCTGAAGTAACACGATTAAATATTTATTTTCGTTATTGTATTAAAGAATTATTACGTCATTTACACGTAAATGCAAAAGATAATATTATGTTTATATTTACAAATAGTCGAACAACATTCTATCGACCCGGTTCAACTACTACTATATTAAAAACTCTTCTAAAAGATCTTCATGAGAAAACTGGTGTTGAAGTACCATTTCATAGACAAAATACATTTATGTTTGATAGTGAATCATTTCGTTTTTTAGCTGTTTGTAAACATGGATTAACTTTTTTAAATCAATATAAAGACAATTATAGTGAAAGTTGGAGTAAATCTGTTGATGAATATATTCGTCTTATTACTTGTATATTTCAATGTGATCTTCATGCTGTACAAGATACACAATCATTGAATGAAGCTCAAATATTAATTCATAAACTTTCACGACCAATTGGTGAAATTGCTACACTTATTCAAGAAAATATTTTAATGGCTAAACAATATAAAGAAAAAATTTTAAACAATCAAACAAATCAAATTTCAAATAAAATACCACAAAAAACTGGTAAATTTATTCCACTTCGTCAACGACTTACTGTTTGTGTCAGTACAAAATGTACTGAAATTATTCAAGTTAATGGTGAACAAAGAATTAATTATAGTAGTAATTGTCATGTTGGTTGTTCATTACATCGAGTAGTACAAGAATGTATTGGTCATCCAATTATTAAAGGATGTCGAGCGCTTAAAAAAACAGGTTATACAATTCATACTCGTTATGAATAATTATATAATAATTTTATTATTTCTAGGTTTATGTCGTGAGTGTGGATGTGATTGGACAAAACATATGCATATAACATATAGATATGAAAGAAATTTAGAATATATTAATATAAATAATTCTGATTTATCAACAACACCTCAATCAATTATAACATTAATTGATAAACGAATATCTGATTTACGAAATGAAGAAAAAGAAATACGACATATATGTGTTAAACTATCACAATTTTTAAAAGCATATTCAATTACACCATTTAATGATGATATGATTGAATATCTTCGTCATTATATTAATGAAGAACGACAAAAACAAATGGCTGGTACTGATAATACAGAAATTATTCGTGGTCTTGAACAAATGATGAAAGATTATACAGACGAAATGAATTTATATACGAACAGTATTTCAGTACAATATAAATCAATATCAGAAGATAATTTTGATAATACAACAAATATAAATGAAATTTATAATTTGGTACAAAAACTTTATGATTTACCTATCAATGGTAAACTTATTCAAGAACAAGTAACGAAAATGAATCAAGGTCGAGCACAAGCAGCGACAACTGATGAGCGTTATATTGAATTACCAATAGGCTATAATTCTCCACAAATTCTTGAAAATTTAAAGAAAATTGTTACTCAAAAAAAAAGATAAATATAGTCTTTTCATTTGTGTTACTCTTGTATACCCTTTACTACGTAAAAATAAAACGCTTATAGTCTCGACAATGAAAACGTCATGTCTTCTTCTTTCTTTTTTATTTTCTGATTAACATAAAATATATCACAATCGTCGATAGGAGATGGGTGTGAGTATCTTATCCATCTCTAATCGACACTTTTACCTATTCACACACCCTAAAGTGTTACTATATAATATCTACTTTTGGTTATAATTAAAGAATTATAATGCATTGTATGCATTCCTATAAAACGATATTCTTTTGTTGATTATCGATTAACACTGAACATATTAAAATGATGAAAAGTCCTTCCTGAAATAGAAGGTTAAGTTTGCTTCGACAGAAGTAAAGTAGAAATCATCCATTTTGTTGCGATTTTAAACTTTTCTTTAGCTTCTCTGCAGTTGGCACAATAGAAACTATTTGTATTTAAAACTAAAACATCGTTTTGAAAATGCTAGCTAGAAAGAATAAAAACAAGTTTAATCGAATATTTCATGAACAAACAAGTATATTATCAACAACTATAACATCAACAAGTTTATCACATGAGATATTATTCGAACAAAATAAAATGTTACGAGAAAAACGGGTGATGTAGCTTCATATTTCATTGAAGTATCAGAAACGATATTGAGCCAATCGAATGGTATGCATTAAAAATCAATCAAATAATGAACAAAAACAAACAGAAAACGAAAAGAAAAAACAATAATTAAAGAAAAAGAAAATTAAACGAATTGAAAAATTCTAGGGTTAACATTTATTGAATTGATAAATTGCAAACAAAACAGAATTACAACAACCTGTCGAAAAATAATAAACGAAATATATCCAGATCGTGAATCCGTTGCGAATTAACATATATCAACAATGTCATCAGAATAAACTCATACAATCCATTGTAAGTGCAGTATTTTAGAAACTCTTATACATATTCGATGAAAGAAAGTACAGAAACCATTAGAGAGTACTAGGGAGAATTAAAGGGTGTGTAAGATAGTATTGCCGAGATTTGAAAGATTAATACTCAAACAAATGCCTGAGAAACTTCATGCACACTCATATTTGTAACGCTTTCTCTAAATTTGACTTGTAGTTATCATTTTACAGCGTTGACTTATTCGAATTCTATTATGACACGAATTATTTTTCTAGGTTTCGCAAAACTAGTACATCCAAAACAAGCACACACATCTAATTATGCTCTCAACAACTTCATCGATAATATCGAACGTGTGGATGAGAAGAATGAAGAGATATGATATCTATAACTATACCCATACCAACATCCACACCCTCAAGGAAAACTAACTTTCAAGACTGATACATAATATTCTAGCTATTTAATTCATTTGGCATCTGTCTTATTTGTTATTATTTGATTTGGGAAAAAACAAAAGTAGTTACATTAAATTAGTATGTCATGCTATTGCGATACTCCGGAGTCATTATGTAAATATTTATTATCCAAAAATTGATAAAAATGTCAATAAATTGATGGTGATCAAGGACTATAACAGTTATCAAAGTTATGAAAGGCAGCAGCTAAATTGGCAAAAGCTTTGTTTATGATTAAAATATGTCTAGAGTTAGCTATCACAAAACATTTAGCAACAACTGACACATGCTTATGCCATAACGAAGATGATATTATTTTGTCTACATTTGGTTTCTAATCACCATTAGATATTAAACATGCAGTTGGTATTAATCTTATATGTACAGGTCTTGATAACTGTTGTCGAACAACTGATCGACGAAATATGCCAGTAATAGATAGAACACTATCAATGCATGAGTCTGGGGGGGGGGGCGGGCATGGTAGATGTGAGTGTGAGTGTGACATAAATATAATACACTCACATTCGAAAAAGATTCAAAAGAATCTAGACGTCGATTCTATCTGAAACATGTCGTCTGAATATGGAATTCTTTGTGTATTAACTAATTATCACGATGAAGCGAACATTTGCGGCTTTATTCGATATTCATTAAGGAAAACTATATGTGGAAGTTGTGATTAAACAACACGAAATGAATTAATTTCATCAGCAGTACCTGATGATTTTACTCAGGTTAAAAACATACTACGAAAAAATACTATATGTTAATGGATTTTTTTTGTGCTTTTGTTCTTTCACATTTTTTTTGACTTTTTTCGATGTGGTTCTATTTTTCTGAAAAGCAGAAAGAAAGGATAAATTCAGTATATTGCTCACGTATAAGAAAAGTATACAGGTTATTAGGTTAGGATGATATTTCAACTGTAATAATTAGTCAAGAACGAACATTACATGATTATACTTTTAAATATTGGAAAAAAATTTCATATCATCTTGAGAACTCACTAGAAGCTGTGCAATATCAACGAACATGGACAGCTTATCTTACCGCAATTTCTCTTGAAAGTAATAAAGTTTGGTATAAAGATATAAATTTTCGAAAAAGTAGTATTTTCCCCAATAGACTAGTACCGAGAGGCAGAACAGCCACAGTAATTGAATAATCTTTAGAGACAATCATATTAAGCAACAGGAGTATTTTAGTCACTTAACTGAATAATTAAATATCTAAGTGAATTTAAAATTTTAACACGAGAATACAAAGGTGATGCTAATAAGTAGCGAAGAAAGTATAATTTGTCTCTTTAACGACAGTTTTATAGCATCCTTAGTATTTGAGTGATTAAGAACGTCGGCTTGAATGGATATAATACCAAACACCTATCCCAACGACGAGTATTAGAATTGTGATACCAAGTACAACACTAACTATGATGGCAGTTTGAGAATCTTCAAGTACAAAAAAATATAATTTTTTTTTAATGTTTTCCTTCTTACTATCATTTGTGACTACTAAGGTCGTTGGAGTGGCTGTAATAGGATAAAGTGTTGGTATATAAAATGAGCTTCTAAATAAAAAAACCATATTTTTCGATGATTGTTGGCTAAAAAGTAAAGAGGATAATAAACTGAAAGAATAAAACTTACATATCAACGCATAAATTATCCATACTAAATTGTGATCCATTTCCTGCCCCAGAGAACATGGGATCAAGAATTCCTCTTGAACTAGTGAAATTAATGCTGTCAACATCAGTCCAGTTTAATACTATCAGCGACGCAATATTCGCCTGGAGTGTGACTTTTTGTCGATAAATTGTTGCTCCATTTCGTTTTCCATGCATTGATAAAGTCAAATTATCATGCCAAAAAGCAGCTGCAATAAACGAATTTATACTAAAAGTAGAAGCTGCTGGAGAACTAATTGTCATGGAATTTCCAGCATTATTGAAAGCAACATATACGTCACTTGAAAGAGTTGTATGATTACCACCAAATGAGTTGAGATAACGAACATATATGTAGGCGACATTAGACCAAGTTAAATCAAAATAATTGTTTGGCACTAAACCTGCTTCAGATACTGCAGGTAAATCATCAAAAGTTATAAGTGTATTTGGGGTTGTACAGTTGTAGTCACTGAGGACGATACCAGGAAATGATAAACACAAAATGAGTAACACAATTGAATACATCTCTTTGTGCTTTGTTAACTGAAATGGTAGTATTGAATGAAAAATGAACACTTTACTGCACTTTAAAAAAATGGGTATTTGTTACTATCGCAAACTCTCTTCAGGTTTCTGAACAAATCGGCAACCACAAGAAACGTTTCCGAATAGCTCGGAAACCATAAAAGAGTTTCCGATAATAACAAATACCCATTTTTTTAGTGTGTAGATTAGAAAGACCAAAACAGGAAATTTTTCTTTTATCGAAAACTCATTTATATGAATGTGTTAAATGAATATTTTACTGTAGGTTATGAAAAGCAAAAGAGAAAGGTTTCTTTTAAAATCTATTTATCACTTATCAATCTAAAAAAAATAGATATTTGTTACTATTAGGAACGTTTCTTGCAGTTTCTGAGTTATTCGGAAACCCTAAAAGAATTTCCGATAGTAACAAATACCCATTTTTTTCAGAGTGATATAAATGTGTTAAATGAACATTTTACTGTAGGTTAGGAAAAGAAAAAAAGGTCTATTTTTAATCTATTTATCACTTACATAAATGTGACAAATGAAGACTTTACTGTAGAATTTTTTGAATCCATTCATTATTGACAGAAATGTTCATATCAATGATATAAATCGATATATTAATAGTTTGTTTTGTTACCTACTTTCTAAATGAGAACAACCTTCTGAATGTTTATTTATATTATAAGCCGAATTAGACATCTCATAAAGTATGTGTGAGTAGCAAGTATGACTCACTATCAATACAAAACTACATCTACTTTTTGCTTATGAGACAACATAAAATGGCATGAGTGTTTTAAAGAGTGATTTTGAGTGAGTAGAATCGAACGTCAATTTTGATGTAAATGAACGTGTATGTTATGATATCATTGCATGTACATGCTTTTCCTATTCTTATTATGACTTCTACACTTCCATACCATCAAGATAGAGAAAATATCAAAGATTTACAGTCAACAATTGACGTCCGCAAGCATTCCATCATATTCACCTTTTTATCTTTATCGATCTTTTTCTGAGAGTCACGTTTTGATGAATGTTTATGGCAACAATAAAATCATCTAATGATATTATATTTTGTGCAAGTATAACATGAAAAGAATAGAAAAGAAACAATATAATATTGTCTTTACAAAGTATATTGAAACTTAGGATGACGATCACCAACTGATTCTTCTCCGCCATATTTGTCGACTTCTTGTTGAATTTGTTCATCAGACATTTGTTTCCGACGTTTATTTATTATCATTAATACACATCGAAGTATAATTACCAGTATTGTCTGTACTGTCATACAAACTAATGAAATTGTATGACCAATAATATATCGTGGTTTTTGTTTATCACTGTATATTTGACCAGATACAATTCCACCAGATACACCTATCGAAACGATCATTGCCGAGGCAGTAGCACGTCGAGTCAATGAAGCACTATACAAATTAATATATATAACTAAATAGAACATAGATACAGAAAAACTTACAAATTATTGTTATACCAAGCAGTTCGTACGCTAACACTAGAATAAACACCAATAGCAGCTAAAATAATACCTGCATATAAAACACCGACTTGTTTCTCATCAACAAATATAAGCATTAGAAAACCACATATTGCAAAAAGATTTACAAAAGTAGTATGAAGCGATCGTTCCATGAAACTATATATAGAAAGAAATAGTTTGTTTAATATATTTTAAAAATCAAATTAATACACTCACTAATCTGAACTACGTGAAACAATTAGAATAACAAAAAATGCTGCCATATTGGGTGGAATAGTCATCAATTGAGTTTGAAGAGTTGTCCACGTTCCAAACTCTTTAATAATTACTGGTAATGAAAGAGTTATACCTTGCAAAGCAATGAGTCCAGTAATATAAATAATTGCATAAAAATACGCTTTCCAATCTTTAAATACAGAAAATACTTGTGACCAAGAAAATTTTTCTTCCTTTGTTGGACCAGCATCTTCAGCAAGAGAATCTATCTTAAGTTGACGTTCTTCATCATTCAAAAACTTTGCTTTTTCAGGAGAATCAGGTAACAAAAACCAACACAATATAGCGACAATAATATTTGGAGCACCTTCAATCTATCAGCAATAGAAAAAAAACGAAAAAGAATGTATTTTATATATAAATATCTTATTGTGATATAATTACAATGAAGATCAATCGCCATTTACCCATGCTTGATGAACCAATTTGACTTATACCATAAGCAAGAATACCGCTAAATGCACCTGAAAGTGCAGATATTGACCAAAATAAACCAACACGAACAGCTTGCTGTTTTCTTGGATACCATATGGATAAATAATAAACAATACCAGGAAATAAACCAGCTTCAATGACACCCAAGAAAAAACGACATGCGAGAAGACCAGCAGCATTTTGAACAGCACCCATACACATTGAAACAATACCTACGAAATGAAAGTATTTTCTTGCAATTTAAAAAAAACAATATCCACATAATATAAAGATATTTGAAAGAAAAAAAAAGATAAATACCTAAAGCCATATGAATTACAGCTAACCATCTTGATGGTCTCCATCGTCGAAGAACAATATTGGATGGAACTTCAAAGAGAGTGTATCCAACGAAGAAAATAGATAATGACCTATTTCAAATTAAGATATTTTATAAGAAATAAAAAGAAAAAGAATTACTCTACCAAAGATATTCATTTGCAGTTATTTTAAGATCTGCTTCAAGGCCAGCTAATTTAGCATTAGCTATATTTGATCGAACTAAATATGATACTAAATAAATGATACTAAAATTCAAAATCAATTTTATTCAAGTTATGTTTAAATGTATATATACCAGATCATTGGTAAAATTCGACAATCAATTTTTCGTGTTAATGTTTTTCTTCTTTTTTTCATCTCTTCATCATCTTCATCAAATTGTTCAATTGGATTTTTATCATCGTCGTCGTCGTTTGCACTCATTGTAATAACAATACTTTATTTAATAACTAAAAATAGAACATCAGTTATTTATTTATTCTTCTATGAAATCATGACAACCTAGATTTTTTTAGAAAAAAAATATTCGTATCGCAACATGTTTCGAAACATAACACACGTGATAGTAAGAGGTAAATTACAAAGCTTAACATAAATTACATACAAAAGACCAACGTCATGTGTCTCCTCTCCAGCTTTTAATGACAATACGTCTTATTGTTTGTTTTATGTTATCCTTGTATTGTCATACTTTAACATCAATAAAAGCTTTGCCTCCAAAAAGAAAAATGTTCACAATATACATCTTAATGGAGACGATTGTTGAGAATATATATATAGTCGGTCATAATGATATGTTACTCATCCAATAACGATTATTTTTATCAATAGTTAAATTTCATTTGAAATGAACAACAAGAAACATACTTTGTATGTTTTATAACTATTGTTGACAAGTAATGTAACAGCAATTTGTTTTCATTAATGAAGTCACGCTTGTAAATACTCAATATATACCTCTCATATTTAAAAAAAAGAAAATATGTACGTTAATAAATCTTTTATATTTTGTGTATCGATACTAAACAAGAATGGTTTTATTAGAATGTAAATCAGAAGAAAATACGAAAAGAAAAAGATGCACATATAGTGAACACTAAACACAAATAATCTAATAATTCTTACCTGTATATAATGTCCAAAGGCAATCTAAGTTGAAGAAAAATGAATACGTGTGCACTCGTTGAAAGTATGAATAACCCGTATCGTGTCTGTCTTTTTCTGCAGTGATCAGTGATGCATCAATTGTCTATTTTTGATTTCAACAAGAAAAAATAAACAAAATGTAAGGTGTTACAGTCCAAATTTTGTGTTCCTTTCTTTCGATGCTTACGATAAATATTACCTATATGAAAAAGAAAAATATAACTTACTAGTTCTCTCTCTCACAATAGCAAATACTAAATAATTTTTAACTATGAAATAGTTCTTTGACTTGAATATTACTATATGCTAAATGGTACCTGAATCGCTTCTATAATAAATCAGATTTCAATTAGATGATTTTCATCTAAAAATAAAATTAGTAAACAGAAGTTTTGAACAAGAATGCATGTATTTATATGATTAGAAAAGAGGAGTATGTGAAATAAAAATTGTTGGTATTAAAAGAATTTGTTTTCTTTGAAAAACATAATCAAATTTGTTTAGAAATCAAGATATATTAGTTGTTTTTTTCTAAATAGATATTTTGTCTACGAATGTGCGATTAGAAATCCTATCATTCTTATAAAACCATATCTTGTATAACAACGATTATTATTTTACGTTTTCGTTTAACTGTTCTCGAAAATAATACTGTACCACAACTACAGTAGACATTTCTTTTTTTATTTAATCTATGTTATATTGCATGCTGATTACAAACATATTTTTCAAAATAATTAATATTATTTACATTAAAACAAAAATTATATTATTTCTTAAACATTTAAAAGAGAAATATTTTTGAAAAGACAATCACTGTATCACTATTACGAACGAATAAATTGAAGAAATGATAGTTTATATATTTAATAAAATTGTTCTTGCAGATAAATATATTTGTGATGAATGAAGTTTGATACTTTTCAATAATTTGTAAATCTAATTTACTATTTTTTAATTTTGAATTGATAAAAATAAAATTAAAATAAATAAAGTTTCGATAACGCAACAATGGAATAAAAATTTTGTTTTCAATATTTTAACATACTTAAATAGAACTCAGCGATCTCTACAAGAATATTTCTACTAAGAAGTTTATAAAAACTTTTTTTAAAATAAGATTTTGAAAAAACTCGAATTATTTTATATTGAGAATAAATGTTCAGTTTATGAATTAAGTTTGCTTTTTTCAATGTAATTATGACCTGAAAAAACTTTCAGTAGATACAGCGTGAAAAATTCTCACTTGTAAGATGTCTCCGAGTGTTTAGATAAAACATAATTAGAAAATTGTTGAGCTGAAATCGTAAGAAGCAATCTTTGAAAAAATTCAATTAAAGTACGTGACAAAAATTTCAAGTCTCGCTAGATTCATAATTTATCCATCAATTTTGTGTTATTTTGCTTGTGAAAAGATCAAAAAAAGAAGTTAAGTATAATTATGAAACATAAAATATTTATAGAAAAAAAAGTTCCAACTCATTAAATGATTGATTTCTTTTAAACAGTTTTAATAAAAATAAATTTTATTATTTTCAATAATATATTTTGTATCGTCATTCGATCTTTGTAATTGTCGAACAAAAAGAAAAACGAAAATAATTTGTAAATGTCTTTTGTTATTAAATAAATATTTATCTCATGGAATAATCGTTTATTTACAATTTCATTTTATTTATTAATGTCATAAAAAAAAATCATACAGTCTCATTTTTATAATCTAAATATTGAAAATTTTTATTTTCATACATTATGACACAATATTAAATAAAAATCTCTGTAAATTTAGTCATATTATCCATAAATAAATGTCATTGATTTTATCTTTATTCTCTATATCTCTTACTTTTGTTTTTATAAAAATATATTTCTATATCAAAATTTAATTTCATTGATTGATTTTGTTATATATAGAAAGATTGCAACTTCTATCAATTTATTTATCATAAAGAAAAATATTCATAAAATTTCAATAAAACACAAAAACTTCTTTTAAAAAATGCAAATGTAAAAATAATTAATTATTTATGTATATTTCAATCAGAGATTAATTTTAATGTAATAAAACAAAAAAAAAATTTTTCTTGATTTTATAAAAAAAATATAAATATTCAATTTTCGAGTCGAATTTAACTATTGAAAAAAAATTTTTTTATTATTTAATCTTTCAAAAATCTCTTCAACAATAAAAAATGAAAATGATTGATTAGAATTCAATAAAAATACAAAATTAATTCTCATTTTATTAAATTCGTTTTTAATAAAATAATAAAGAGTTTATTATCAAGAAAATGTAAAAATCAATGAGAATTTGATTTTTGGTCAGCATAATAATTGAAATGATCAGTAGCAAAAATAATTTCAAAATCAGTTAAATTCTTAAATGAGCAGTAAAAAAATGAGTGAGCAGTAAATTAAGTAGTTCACCAGCAACTAATTTAATATGTCAGTTATTAATTATCAAATGATGTAAATTAATTAAAAGATCACTAAATCCAATTTTTCAACAGTCGAACATATGAAAGCGTCAGTATAAAAATTGAAATAGTATAGAATGACCTATTTCTATTCTACTTTTTCTCTCTTTCATCATTTCATATAGTTGAGAGTGCGGATACAGTTGCATCTACTTTATCTCCGCCCAAACCCAGACCCCTATGAATTTTTTTCAAATTCTACTACTTATAAAATTGAGCCCAATAAAGCTAAAGCATTTACAAACTTTATTGGTCATTCATCAAAATATCAAACTTTATTACCCATTTATCAAATGTCAAACTTTATTATCCATCCATCAAATATCAAGTGTTTAGAAGATGCTTGATTAATTTATGAAAAGTAGAAATTCAATTTGATTGCCTGCTGAAAGTCGAAACTAATATTGATCAACTCTCATTCACATCTAAATATAGTCATATTCGCATGCAGATCGCGTCAGTCTAGCGCCAAGTGAATCGAGTTTCGATGAACGTTACTTGTATTTTGAAGGAACCAAAAGATACAACATATTTGATCAATTTCTATTTTAATTATATCATCTCTTTCATCATTTAAACATTTCATTGAATGTTTTATATTTTGTTATATTAACAAAAAATGTATTTTATCATTAGGAATTAAGTTGTTTATAATCTCCATTAATGATTATACACAAATAAGATTATTTTATTCTTTTAATATTAACTTGATTAATATATTATTTTCATAGTAAATAAAATACATTTATTACGTTTATTATTGAAAATATTTCTTAAAAACGTTTTTAATAGAAATTGAATAATGCAATTGATATAAAGAAAATATTTATTCAGAATTATTAATATCTATTAAAACAATAATATAATTGATTTTTATTATCTGTTAATCTTCTATTACAAGTGTTTGATTTAAATAAAAATATTTTTTTATGAGTTGACAAGAGCTAGGAAAAGAGACAAACAAGTATTACTTTACACAAATACATACGAATACAACGAACAGAGAAAAGCATCGTGCATATAAAACATTTATTTTTATTTAATTCACTCATTTGTCATCTTCTTCACCAATTCTTTATAAATATCTCGTAAATCCTCGCTTCGTCTTCTAAGGTAGGTTAATGTTATTCGATTATAATTTCATATTTATATCAGATAATATTATTATTCATGTTGTGTGCAGAAATATTATTATTAGTTACACTTAGAAATGTTATTCACATATTTACGTGGATAAGGTAGTAACTAGATTCATATTGATGAGAATAAGTAGCATAGATTGACGCGATTCACTTGGTCCCGTGACTTTACAAGTTCTGCGGATAAACATGCAAACACACAGTCGTTTGAGGGATTAAGACCCTGAATACAGTCAAGGGAATAATGTCTAGACCATTTAGATAATAACAGCATATTATATCATAATTGGGATAAAAACTAGTAGTACAAGAGAAAAGACAAGATACTAAACGGAGCTAAAAATTACCCATGCTTATAAAAAGAAATCTTACACATCACGATAAATTATAAAGAAAGAGTATCGCTGCTACAATGATATTCGAAAAAAAATATTTGAAAGATCATTGTATCATTTTTAGGATGGGTGGATATTAGTCGTTGTGAGGGTGGGTTTGAGTGTGGGTTGTAGATGTGAGCTTTGTTCTTATCTCACATCCACAGCCTTACAACAACCATCACACCCAACACCCACCAACACCCACCCATACCCACAACCACAACCACACCCACACCCACACCCACCCTTACTCTTCTTAATGTTGCGTGATTAATTACCCGAAATTAACAGTCGTGTTATTCACAAAAATATTACGTTGTAGCTTGATAAGCTATTTAACGAGCGTTTAATTATGAACCTTTTATTATTCGTATTCGTATCAAAAGCTCTTTTTAAGTGTATCTTTTCTATTATAATATGTCATTAATTAAATTCTGATCAAATATACTAGTATATACAAAGAAAAAATAGCAGTTTTCAGAATCTCTGTAGATTCAAACAAAAATCTCAACAAAAAATACTTCTATTCTTATTCGTTTCTTTTAATAAAAACTTAGTGAATCTTTTTAAATTTATATACAGATTATGGCTTCCGCATTTTCATGGTCAAATAACTCCGTTTATACAAAACGAGCTCTTCTCATTGGCAATAATAAATACAAGAAGAATAGGCGACTTCGATATTGTACCAATGATGCTGAAGATCTCGCTAACAAATTACATAACATTAACTTTGAAATCACAGTTGATACTAATTTGACATATGAACAAATGGATAGAATGATCGAAGCGTTTAATGATAAGATAAATCCAGGTGATCTTGTTCTTTTCTTTTTTGCGGGCCATGGGTGTCCATGGAATCATTCAAATTTTCTTATCCCTATTGATGATGATCGAATTATAACGCATACTGATCTAGAATATCGAGCAATAAATGTTCAATCTGTACTTGAAAAGATTATGAGTTGTTGTCCATCAGCAGCTATATCTCTTCTTGATTGTTGTCGGAATAGTTCTGAATGCGAATCATCAAATTCTCATGGTCTTTCAAGTATGCGAGCGATTGCTGGTTCATTTATTGCTTTTGCATATGATACAAATGACGTTACATTAGATGTATCAATAGATGGTCGAAATGGTTTATTTACATCTCATCTTCTTCAACATATTGACCGACCGAATTCAACTATTGATGAAATAATGTATGATGTTTGTGATGGTGTAATGAAAGAAACAAATGGTGATCAATGTCCATTCCAACTCAGTTCACTTAGACGAAAAGTTTATTTAAATCAACAATTTACAGCTGGTAAATCTAAAATAATTTTGAATCGCTATAAATATGAAAAATACTTTCTATAACATAATTTTATAATTTCTAATTGATAAAATTTCAATCCTATGGAAATTTTTCTCATCTATTTATTCAATTATATTTTCATGCTAAAATAATGTGCGTAGTAAAATTTATTCATTTATGATATTAATGATGGTGATGCTTTGAAAATAGAGCATCATTACATTTGTCATAAATGTTTTGAACACAAAAATTTATTAAGATGAATTGATTACATAGAATATAGAAAGCAAAGTACACTTTTTATGAAATCAGCTTTTGCATAAAAATAGAGAAATTTATTTCATTCGACGATGTCTATGGGATTTTTGTAAAGTTTTGTATTTTTTAAAAATGTTTCACTTCAAACACGAAAATGGTTACTTGTAACACCAGAATTTTTATATTTATTATTTTTATTGTAGAGCAATTGAATGGTACAGTGTGTGCTCCCCTTGATCGAATCGATGCCGTATGTGCTCGCCTGGATCGTATCGATGCGAAAGCCGACCTCATTCTCGCCAATACCCAAACGATTATAAATCAAATAAAGTATGTCATGACACAGATGTATGAATTGCATGAATTCACTACACCTCGCTACTTTTTCATTTTTCCGGCAAAGCACAGCGATTGGACAATACTCAACAACGTACAAGACTGGTATCATCTCCATTATAAACTCTATTTTCTATGTGAATGTTCTGATGAGCCCGATAAAATGCATGTTGCTCCACATAACGGCCATTCGATTAAAAAGACGAGAGAATTCATCGTCAAGTATGGACCTTATTTACGAACAACACTGCAAGCTGCTCAAGTCCTGTTCAGCCTTGGAAGCTTTGTTATCCCACAACTGGGTAGCGTGTCAAAGGCTGTTGGTAGTAGTGTAGATACGATTTTACCGTCACTTGATAAGCAGAAAGAGATAGAACAGCAGCTAAACTTGGTTGAGAAATTACTCGATCGAGTCGACCATAAATGGGCACAGGCAAGGTCCACAATTCTCGAACAAGATAAATCACATGGAGTGCCACTTGACGGACCAGCTTTGCGTGCAGTTGAAGCGTTTCTGGACGTTGCCGATAATACACGTAGTTTAGGAGACCTATACCGAACAGTCACCGCTGATGGACATGTGCGTTGGGTGTGTCTAGAGCACTATGACGATATCGGCTATAATAACGCTATGTCCAAATATATTGATCAGTTGGAAGCTATGGGAGGTGAATTCGATACAAAAACTAGAGAAGCAGTGGTGAGTGCAATGGATTTGAGTAGCAAGAGTGTCAAAATATTGTGCGAAGCTCTCACCAAAGGTTTCAACATTTCGACATTGACATTCAAAGGGTGTTCACTGAAGGAAGATGATCTTGTCAAGTTGCTTGATATTGTCATTAATCGCTCTTCGGTTCGGTGTCTTAACATGTTTGCAGTTTGTGTTAGGAATCTGTTTGGAAATACGAAATATGTCTGCAAATGCATGGCTGCAGAATTCAATAATCAAACCTTCTGGGTTCGTTTCTGCGACAGTTACCAGGATGGACATAAGTCAATGCTTATTCAACTCTTGCTACAAAATAAGATACATCGAACCTTCGACTTTTCTGCTTCTGAGTTTATGGGCCACGAACGTGATCTTCAGAAGTGCTTTGAAACGAAAGGAATAGTGACAGGATTGATTGTGGAATATTCTAACAATATTGATATCATAAATACTCTGTTCAATTCTAAAATGAAAACATTGTATCAACTAAAATTTAATAATTCATTGCATATACCATCGACTTTATCTTATTTCTGTGAAATGTTGAAAATCAATCAAACACTTATCGAAATCGATATTATGGATCAAACTGGTTTCGAAGACGAGACTTTCATTGTTAATCTTTTGAGTACTTTGAAGGGACACAAATCAATCAAACATCTCAGTCTGCATGTAAAGAATATTCAACCATCGGACCGGAAAGAAGCTAGTCTAATAGAGTCATTGAATAATCATAAATTTATTTCACGCCTCCGTATATCTGAATCTGCTATTACACATAAACTTACACAGGCATTTATTCAAGCCTCTCAAGAACATCACATCTTAAGACATCTCGAGGTTTATCATACTCAAGTGAACATCGTCGATGTTCAACAGCTGAAATCCTTATATGAGAATCACAGTTTGATGTACATGAACATATCAGAACGACCATATTGGTACGTAATGCTGGAAAAGACAAATGGGCAAGTTAAAAGGGGTAAGAACTAATATATGTATTTCTTTCATCTTTGGGAAGATACGAAAATTTGATATGAGGAGAGTAGATCAGATGGACATCAGTTCATCTAAATACTCTTTGGTATCCCATAATAGTCTGAGGTGAGATCTTGTTCGATCTCTAGGCAATGGGTGTGCTCATATGGTTTAACTTTTAAAACATTATCATATCTATATCTTATCCTTATGACAGTAGAACGTGTCACGACCAAAATCTCTTTTTGCTATGAAAAACGTCATTTCAATTTGTCGCATTTTGTGTCAGCGTAAAGAATTATACATATAAAGATTAGTCAATATGTGCCGAAACGCTAGGTAGGTAGAACAGATTACCATTGGAATAGTACTGAAATTCACGTTTTCTCGAACGCTTATCGATATTTGCTTGTGCTCAACTAAGACTATGAGCATGACTTATGGTGAACGATATCCGTGATATTTTGTACTTTTTTCACATAAAATGTTTATCATCCTCGTTCGTAGCTCAGAAATCTAAAACTGGTCTCAACCGAATCTATTGGAGCAATGATTGCTCAGCAATCATTGTTTCACGATGCTTGCTAACGAAAAGTGTTAAGAATAAGCCATACGTGTTCAGTTTCTGTTCACAATACACATATACTATTCGTTGTAAAGGCATTGATCATCATATTTAACTAAACTCATTTAATATAAAATTTAAAAACTAATTCAAAACAAAAAGTTTTTTATATAAAAAGTGTAAAATAATGTTTTTGATCTTTTAATGATTAAAAAATAAACAATCGCAATTGTCATTTCAACTCAAAATAAAAATAACTTATTTACAAACAAAATAGAAAATATACAAAGATCAAACTAGATTTTAAAAAAAATCATATTTGAATAAATGTGAGTAGACATGACCCAAACCCAAACTCAAATTCAAACCGTTTGGGAGTTTGAGTTTGGGTTCATGAGTTTGGGTTTGGGTTTGAGTTTGGGTATTGAGTTTGAGTTTGGGTTTGGGTTTGGTACCCAAAGTCCCAAACAGTTTGAGTTTGAGTTTGGGTTTGGGTCTACTTTTAACTGCAATAAATTTATTCAAAATAGTTCCTTTTACAGATTAAAAAAAGCACAAGCCCAAACTCAAACCCAAACTGTTTGGGAGTTTGGGTGCTAAACCCAAACCCAAACTCAAACTCAAACCCAATACCCAAACCCAAACTCAAACTCAAATCCAATACCCAAACTCAAACCCAAACTCAATACTCAAACCCAAACTCACCAAACCCAAACAGTTTGGGTTTGGGTCATGTCTAAATGTGAGAGATAAAAGTCTTTTTTTATGTTAATCTGGTATATTTGTATGAATTGTATCAAAAAAAAGTTAAAATAATTTTGTATCATTATGAGTAATGTTGACAATTCTTCTCTAATCCATTTTATTCTCTTTTATTGAAATTGATTTCGATATGAATGAGATTACTTTTTTATACTTTAAGATCTATGTTAAATTATCATCAGAACATTATGTTCTGTTTTTATTCTGATAGAAAAAGATCTTCAACTTCATTCTCATTCATCTATAGAATTGATCAATCTCCTTAATTTGTAAATCAAATTTATTTCTTTTTTGTTAAAATGAGACAAAATTTATTCAATTCCAATATGTCTCTTTCATTTTTCATTCTTACGAATTTTTGTGAAACAAAAAACCGAAATTGTAATGTCTTTCAAAAGTTTTTATTAAAATGTTTGTAGAGTTTATAGTTTTGTTGGTCAGGACTTTATAGAAAAAAAATTTGTTTGTGAAATAAATTTTGAAATTAGAAAATATAAAAAAATAAAATATCCTCTTTCAAATATCTTCATTATGTTTGTCTCATCAGAATTAAATTTCCAATAAAGAATATGCTCCATACTAAATTATTATGTTAACATAAATTTATCTCACGAGGGAACTTCACTAAGTGACACCCTCCGTTTGACCTCATATTCTGCTCATATGTAGGACTCATATAGTAGATAAAAATCCCAAAAGGGTTCGTGCCATTGCCCTCTTGCTGTTGAGATTTTGTGTTTCTAAGTTACGGAGATAACTGAATGCCGTGGTCCCCCTCAGGGAAGTGCGAAAAACTAATGTTGGAATTTTGACTTGAAACTTTGTATACAAAGAGGTCTTACTGAGAGTAGTTTACTATGAAAGTTTTAGACTTACTTCTTGTTTCTATCCAGCGATACGGCTATGAAAATCTAATGTCACCTGCTACCACTTATAAGAGGTAGCATATGACATTCTTTTTTTGAATTATGATTATTCAGGAAAACTGAAACTTTCATAGTAAACTACTCTCAGTAAGACCTCTTTGTATACAAAGTTTCAAGTCAAAATTCCAACATTAGTTTTTCGCACTTCCCTGAGGGGGACCACGGCATTCAGTTATCTCCGTAACTTAGAAACACAAAATCTCAACAGCAAGAGGGCAATGGCACGAACCCTTTTGGGATTTTTATCTACTATATGAGTCCTACATATGAGCAGAATATGAGGTCAAACGGAGGGTGTCACTTAGTGAGGTTCCCTCGTCAGTATAAAAATTTTAAATATTTCATTTCATTTTCACTTCATATGATTTTAAATAAAAATATTTTTATTTTCATAACAGAAACAATTTTATTAAATCATTTTTAAATTAAATGAAATCCTAATTACAATTAAATCGATTTAAATCATTTTTGTTTTATTTTATCTCCGCCCTCTCAACATACTATTTCAATAAAACAAAACCTTCAAGATACATTTTTATACAAATGATCATTTTTATTTTATTGTATTTTAAAATAACATTTTTTTATTCACATTTATTCATCCATTTCATTCAAATATGAACAAAATCTTTTTTCTTTTAGAACAATCAATTCTTTTCAATCATATTAATAACAACACAAAATGGAAACAGCATGGAATTACTATTGCTGGAGGAAATGAAGAAGGCAATCAGTTAAATCAACTCTCTAGTCCTTTGGGTATCTATGTTGATGATGAACATCAAACTATTTATATTACTGATTATTTTAATCATCGTATTGTTGAATGGAAATATGGAGCAAAGAATGGTCAAGTTGTTGCAGGGGGAAATGGAAAAGGAAATCGAAGTGGTCAGTTGAACCGGCCAAGAAATGTGGTTGTTGATAAAGACAATGATTCTCTCATCATTTCTGATCAAGGAAATAGACGAGTGATACGATGCCCTCGTCAAGATGATAAAAATGGAGAGACAATCATTTCTGATATTGATTGTTGGGGATTAGCACTGGATAAGAATGGAGACCTTTATGTCTCTGATTGGATGAAGAGTAAAGTGAGACGATGGAAACAAGGAGAGAAAGAAGGAACAATAGTAGCAGGTGGAAACGGACACGGAAATCACCTCAGTCAATTCGATAGTCCTAGTTATATCTTCGTTGATCAAGACTATTCAATTTATGTGTCGGATCGTGACAATCATCGTGTGATGAAATGGATGAAAAGTGCAAAAGAAGGTATTGTAGTTGCTGGTGGAAATGGTGAAGGGGATAGTTTGACACAATTATCTAATCCTCAAGGAGTGATTGTCGATCATCTGGGTAATGTTTATGTGGCTGACGATGGTAATCATCGAATAATGCGTTGGTGTGAAGGATCTTGCGAAGGTAGTATTGTTGTTGGTGGAAATGGTAAAGGAGAACAATCAAATCAGTTCCATTATCCCACAGGTTTATCATTCGATGTTCAAGGTAATCTTTATGTTAGTGATTATGCCAATCATCGAATACAAAAATTTGAAATTGATTTGAATGAAATTTGTTGATTTTGATGGTGAAATGAATCATAAACTGTTGGTGAAAATCTTTTTGTTTATTTTGATTGAAAAATTAATAAAAATAAAAGCTGAAAATGAATAGTTGTTAATAATTAAATTAAGTGTGATTTATTAATAATTATCTATTTTGATGTAATTTGTTAAAATAGATAAAATAAAAGTTTGATTTATTTGTTAATTTTGGTGTGATTGATTTAATATTGTATTGGGGTGGGTGCTGGCTTGATTTAAATAAAATATAAATGATTATAAGATGATTTATTCATAGAATTGATTTTGAGAAATTTAAAATAAAAACTGGTTGAAAGCTGAATGATGTAGAATATGATTATCTAAATCATACCAAAATAAAAAACAGATTTGATTTCATGATAAATTTAATATTACAGGAACAAAAATGATTATTATTGAATAAGATTTTTATAGAGAAGAATCAAACAATTATTATAAAATTTAAGTAAAGAAAATCTCATTGAAATTAAATGAAAATTGTGTTTCTATGATCATTTTGGTATGTATATGCGTTTTTAATAAAATGGAGATAGTTGACAATTAAATATGAATTTAATTAAGAATTAAATGAGATTATTACAATTCTAATAAGTGAAAGTAAATACATAATAGAATAATTGTTTTTATACCTATAAGTGATTATTGCAATGTATTTTGCTCGGCTCTCAGATGACAAGTTTTTTCTTCTAATAAAATTTAATTTCATTCATAGACTTTTCTCGAATCTGCTACTTTAACTCTAGTCATATTTAACTAAATTTTTAAATTGGATTCAATGTATTGTTTTCAAATTAACTCATTCAGTCGTAATCGAATGACGTAGACATTTATGAAAAAGTAATCTGAATAAACATCAGAAAACATATTCAAACCGTTGACTTTTCTGAGTTTCTGTTTCAAGAATGCATAGTTGCTAAATTTAATAGACATTTTAAATTTAATTTAAATTGAAGTGAAGCTATAAGTATAGAAAATCCTTTTCAATTCTATTCAATTAAGTTGCTTAGCTTGGTCTTTAGGAAAGAGTTTACATAATAATACTATGTCGTACGGCATATGTTCTATCTTTGAATGGTTATCATAGATCATTCATCTGACGTCAAACTAGACATGAGTACAAAAGGCATCTTTTCTATTATTAATTACATCTACTTTATATAAAATTTCTTAAGTGGTTTTATATAAATTTATTATAATATAAGTAATATTTGCATAGCTAATTCCATCACATTGAAAAAGTACTTTCAAAATAACAAGGATAGATGTAATCATCCCTTTTTCTATATGTCTATACCAAGTCGTTAGATAAATATATTTTTCTAATTGAGGTATTGCAAGCACTTATCTTCAAAAGAAACACTAAATAGCAGGGTTCAAGGCAACTTAATTAATGTTTTTTGAAAGATTTTTCATGCACATATAGAAATTACGATAAGATAGAAAATAAATAATTGAATTAGTTTTCGACCTCTTTCATTGTCTTTGATAAACTCTTTTAATTTTATAAATGAGATAAAAATCTACAATACACCTCTACCAAACAGCACCAGAACATATGAAAAGATAAAATATTATTTCTTTCTACGTTTTCTATACTATATAAACTATAACAAAAGAAACGATGTGAGGATATATCTATCAATTTAAACAAATGAGTATTTATTTATGTTAAAAAATAGCTTACGTTGCTATTTAGAGGAAGAGCAAAGTATCCATTCGCTGCCTATTTTCTTTAATCTTCGGAGAATTTAGTAGTTGTCTTACTGTTAGTTTTAATGAAATAAGGAATAATGTTGCCCTACATCAAGACGAAAATACTTTATCATCGGATTCGATCAGGTATGTATAGTCACATTTTAAGTCTGTAGGAATACGTTCTACAGCTAATACATTTATTAATAATCAAAGAAAACTAAAGTTCTAGCTGTAGTCCATTGCTCAGTCTTATTTAATTAAACTTCAATACTATGTTCTATTACTAAAAAATATTCTGATCGATCTGGAAGAATATTTGCAAACTTCTCATTTTATCTAAGTTTTACAATTCATAGTAGCTCTAGTTAAAATACCTATAGTGTAGAGTACTATATCATTATACATAACCGAACTAGGTTATACAATATTTTAATAATGTTGTTATCAGATAATATTGAAAAACTTACTAAACATAATATGTTAATCTGTTTTCTTTTGAATTAGATTATTCTTAGCATATTACAAATATTATATAATGGTCGATATTGTACTGATCTTATCCATCGTTAAAATTATTTTATGCGGAATTGTTGCTCTTATTTCATTGTTGTATTGTATTCCAATTATATTCCTACGTCGGTTTCATGATTCTCTCAATCTTCTTATATTGAATCTTTGTTTTGGTGCATTTTGTGATGCGGGTTTTTATGTAGGGTATTTTATTGTGTATCACTTTTATGTTCACCTTTTATGGGCGGAGCCACTCTGCAAATTTTTCTTCTACATGCTATTTTTTGTAGTTTCTGAAGTATCATATGCATTGATCACATTCAGTCTTAGTCGATACTGTACAATAATACATCATACAAAAAGATTTTTCAAAACAAAAACCTTTTTGGTATTATGTTTGTTATGTCAACGTATCATTGAATGTTTATTATTAGTACCATTTGCATTATCTATGAAAGCGGTAAGAATCTTTTCAGTTACATATACAAGAAATATCTTCATATTAAATACTAAGAATTTTTCAACATTGAAATATTTTGTTTACTTTTAGGATTGTATTTCTTCGCAATGGCCGTTTATATATTTGTTAGTTTCACTCATATTACTACCAGCATTGATTACACTTTTGTTAAATCTTGCGATATTCAAACACGTCCATTCGTCATCTCGTCGAATTAAGCCTATCAAAAATGTGACTACAATACCTGTGGTTAGTAGTCAAATTCCAAACCTAAGTCGGCGTGATATAAATTTATTGAGACAAACAATCATTATGTGGTGTGCATATGTTATTGGATGGGTTCCAATTTATGCTCTTACAGCTTTTGATTTTGACGGCAATGCGTCACCATTGATTTATTCACTCTTGGAGATATTGTGTATCGTCAGCCTGTTCGGCGCGATGGTAAATTTATTCTTATATAACAGTGAAGTTAAAATATGCATCAAAAATAAACTGATTGATATTTTCAAATTTATAAAATAAAGACTATTTTGTTGTTGTTTGTAATTATTGTAAACAAGTCATCTAGTCTTTATCGTTTTACCTAATAAATAATTAAATGAAGTATTTCAACATCATTTTCATACTCCTCGAAGTATTTCTCAAACAATTAATCCATCTACTTATCATTAGATAATTACTTAAACATCCACACGCTTTGTTTGTCATTCCGAAGATCTTGTATGTTTTTATATGTTGGGAAATCGTAATGAAAAGTTGGTGCGAAATGTCTCTTTCCCTTTCTTATTTCTGATCAACAAAAGAAACTAGTAGAATTGATTGTTTTGATACTTGTACTATTGAAACAATAGTATTTAATATTTTTTTTCCATTTATATCATATCATTTATTGATAAATGTATTTAACAAATAATGAAAATTGATTTATTTGAGTTTTCCATCGTAAAATTTTAGATTTGATCGTTCAAATAAGATATGTGATGATATAATGTCACTTTTCAGTTATATAAGTATCAATAAGATATACTATATATATATTGCTGATGCCACAATATCTATATAACGATATCTTTTGAATAATTTATGAATGAGATCAATAAGAAAGTTATTTCGGCTCTGCAATATGTGTCTTGGTGTGCGATATATGTAATATTCAACGATACAGTCGTCAATTCCTTTACTTATATTTGGATTGTTAATTCTGTGTATAGGTTGGATTCTTTGAGTTTTATGGATCGCGTGCGACTCTTAAACTTGTTTTGATGAGTTCAGAATTCACAGAACTTGAACAATGCTCATTATCGATTTTCATTTCAAAGTATCGTATTGAAGTTATAATTTAGTAAACTGAGTATTCTACTATTGACTATATGGTCAAAAATAAATATATATTTTTTTAGCGAGTATTTTCGTTTTGATCATATTCAATGTTAAAAATAACTTCAACACAACATGTATAGCCTTACATTGCAAGATCTTGTTTATGATGGATACAAAATATTTTTTTTTGAAGGACAAGGTACAAGGACATCATTAAATGATTCTAATAAAAGACATAGACAGAGATGAGGAGATAAACAAACTATATGCAACTAATGATAATTAAAGGCATTCTAAAAATGTGTATTCTTGATTAAAGGAAGTAAAAATCTCATATATTTTCATGTACTGATTAAAACTATTCATATTAATTTGTCATCAAATAACGTGACTAAGTGAGAAAGTATCATTATTGCATAGAAGACTAAATAAGAAGAAAAAACTCATTATACTGTTTTAATAAAAATAGATTGCCCTCATTAAACTGCTGTTTACGGGTTTATTTATTTATTAAAAACGAATTTAACATTATTTATAATATCAATCAATACTCCTATAATTATAACACTTTTTTGCTTTAATCAAACTAAATATTGTACCAAAAAAGTTCATTTTTGAATAGTATTATTTCTACTAAATGACATAGATGAAACGTTATTCTTGACACGTGATCAGGAAGTATAGATATAATTAGATTAGTTATTTTAAATATAGAATGACTTGAAATTTGCTCACGGCAAAGATACTAAACGGTATTCATATATGTTTATTCTTGAATTGAGTATAAGAGAAACGAAAGACATTTTTTTCTCAACAATACAGAAACACGATATAAAATACACAACATCAATAACTAATACTCGCGAGAATAAATATAAATGTATATAATATCGTTAGTGAGATTATTTATTCAATAATATTATTAGGCCTTGAGGGAAGTGTACCTGCTAGAGTACCAGTTATAGGTACTAAACGACTAGGTCGAAATTTTTTCAAAATAATACTTCTTAATTGTGGTGTAAAAATAGCCATTGATATGCATAATCCAATCATAGAAAAACTAATAAAAAGCCATTCAATACGAGCAAAAAAGGTATATTCTTGTTTTGTTATAAATAACATTATTAAAAGAACTATACGTGGTATTTGAAGAGCGATTAATAAGGCAACAGTTATGAGAATACGTCGAATAACGACAAGATCACGTTGTTGACGTTGTTTAACTATTAATGTTTGAGTATTCATTTGTCGATAAATATATATTGTAATATACATGTAAATAAATAACAATAACAAAAGTGGAGTTCCATAACCTAATGATAAAAGCCAAACAATACCACGGATATTTTTATTTGCTACATTACAATAGTAATCGCTTGACAAATAAACAATATCATGCCACAGAAGAATTGGACATAATAAAAGACAAACTAGAATAAATTCAATAGGAGGTATAACAATATATAACCAAAAATATTGAAGCCATTTAATATTTGAATATACAATACGACATAGACGAAAAAATGCCTAAACATAGAAGAAATTGCATGATAATATATACATATTTTCATCGATACTTACTTGATTTGCAAAACTCCAATACACCATACTAAGAAAAATGGCAGCAAAATATCCCATTAATAAACACCACGGTGAATTGAAGTCTTGAGCATATAACTGTCCTAATATTGCTTGAATATTAAATGACATTAATATTATTGTATACAAGAAAATCAACGTGTAGATATTAGCACATAAAATAATAGTTATTCTATCATCCTTTTTCATACGATTATGTCGAAGATAGTATAAAATACCAGTTAAAATAATCAATGAAATTCCACATGTGAATATATTGATACAAAGTGTAACTGAATTGAGTGTAAAACCAATATTGTTAACCATGATTCTTGTTTGAAAAGAATGATATGTAGTATTATATCAATAGGTTTTTTATACACAAATTAGAATAGACTTAAATCAACAAGATTGAAATAATTAAGATTATATATATAAAGAATTGCTTCTGCTTGAGATAGAATCTAGAGTGTTCTTTTAATCTTTTCTGCGTATATTTTTCTCAAAATGTAAATGAGTTTAATGATGTTGCTCAGAAAAGAAAATTTTTCAGATAAGGACATTTTTAAAAGAAAGAATGAAAAAGTTTATCTTGTCAAAATCTTCAACATAATGAAAGACCTGAGATTTTCTATGTTTTCTTGCTGTTCACTAATTGCAGAAAGTCATCGACATGCTATTCAAAGAATCACGTTTTTATTTAATTATCCAAATTCATCATGAATATATGAGTTAAATTTAGTTAGTCTGTACTTGTAACCTGAAGAAAACAGTCAGTTATGTCTGGGCATCGAAAAAAGATCGTTAGTGGTTAAATAATTATAGAGAACACATGATAAAAAGAAAAATTATTGCATCGCATTTGAGAATATTCATATACTTTCAAGATGATCATTCGAAAGTAAAGTCCTTTATAATTAAAAAGATATTTTAATGAAAAACATATAACTTATAGTGCGGTATTGGTGAATTCTGTCAGTAGTTTGTTTTTAAGCGAAGATATTTTTACTATAGATTCGTGTGTTTTCATTTTTGATTGACGACTAGTTTTAATACATTCGATTTGTTGACGAACATCTGGCATCGATTCCAGTTCATGTATTAACTGATCGATTTGGTTCAATGGAAGTTGTTCATTTGAATCAATCAGTTTCTTATTATTCTTTTGACGTATTAATGGTATTTCACGTAGCATTTTATTGACTTCTTTATTCAGATTTGATTTTCTATGACCAGCATTCAAAATCTGTCGTTCTTCTTCCAAAAATCGTTCAAGTATACAAGCAAATGGATCAATGAAATTTGATAGTCCTTTTTGTTGTAAAAAGTGACTAAGCCTATCACAACTATATAGAAGATCATAAAATCTATTCTTTAAATCATCGGTCGAATCTTTGATCTTTTCAGCAACAGATACATATTGTACGGTGTATTCAATTAAAAAGTGTTTTCTGCCAACAAGACAAAGACATCGCTCATTAGTACCGTCGTTGAGAGGTTCATAATAAACTATCCGAAATAAACCCACTTGCACAACTCTAGATTTTGCACAATTCGTACATTTTTCATTAGTATCAGCCTTTGACTTTAGTACCATTTGTTCAGTAACTATTGCTGCTTCACGTAACTTCCAATTGTACAATATCAAATGTAATGTTTCCATCAAAGGACGAGCAATCATCAAAATTTCTAAAGCACATTTTCTTGGTGATTGCCAGCGATGTAGAAGATATAATTCTCGTGTTTGAATAAAAGTAAGTAAGCGTTTGGATTCAACTACCGATGCCGACCAACTTTTAATACATTCTTGTGTTTGAAATTCATCGAAAGTAACTGCACATTTTCTAGCCGCTAAGTATCGAAATGATTCACTATCAAAACAAAATGTATTTTGTTTTTGAAATGGAACATCATTAACATTTTCTTGTTTAAGCATTTTACGAAGTAATGAGCTAGTATTTCCAGGAGCAAAAAATGTTGATCTTGCATTTGTAAAACAAAAGATGATATTATTATATCCAATAGGTGTTAAATATGTTAATAGTTGATGAATACATGAACGAAAAAAGATATTTAAACGAGATGTATTTGGTTTAAGTAATAAACAGATAGCATTCAAATGTGATAAACTATTTACATATGTTAAAATATGATCAATATTTTTGTCATCTTGTTCAATACCGCGAGTATCACCCATACCGGGTGTATCAATAAAACGTAAATGGATTTTATCATTTAATTGAAATAAATACGATTTACATTGTTGTGTAACTGATTGTCCTTGTTGTTCATAATTTTCATTTGCATCAATATCACCAAATTTGATAGTTACTTCATCAAATTGATCACCAACTGTGGTAACAAATGAGACTGGAATGAGAACAATAGGTTCACTTTGTTCAGCCTGTTCAAGAGTATCAAAGATGAGATAATTAACAAATGCATTAATAAATGTTGATTTTCCAACTCCTGTTTCACCCAAAAGCAATACATTAATTTCAGGTGTTGATGGTGGTGATATCGATTTGTCTATATCTGAAGAATTATTATGTGGAGCTTGTGAAGATGAATCCATTGGTATTGTTATTGTTATAAAATCTTCTAAATCATATTGACATTCCGTAAAATCTACATAAACTGAGATAGTTTTTTGTGTTGCTTGTTGTCTCTTTGAAATAAATTGTTGATATATTTGTTTCCATAATTTTGGGTCGATATCTTTCAATCGATCATTTGAATAGAAAAAAATTACGTCATTATTTTTATTCAAGAAATGACGACGAAGTATTTTTTCAATATCCTTCAAGTTTGTTGATACTTTATTATGATAACGAAGATCTAATATATTGATATATTGAATATCATCATCATTTGATTGTTTAATTAAAGCTGCTTTTTTTGTTAATTGTTGAAGTTCGGCATTAAACTTCTCAATTTCGTCCTTGCTTAATGATACATATTCTTTATCTGATAATACATTAGCGATTACCACTGAGTGATTATGGCCTCGTCGTATGTTCTTAAGTAGTTCTTGAAATTTTTCTCGTAACTTTTTATATGTGCTAGACCACAGATGTAGATGCTGCTGAATATCTTTCAATGCCTCCTCTAACGTTGGATTTAGGAATTTCTCAGGAAGGTTTTCTAACGATTGCTCATAGTATTTCTCAAAACTATCTAAATATATGAATATTGAACTCATTTTTTTAATATCATTATTAATCTCATCAAATCGATAAGACAGTTCTGGAAAATCTTTGCTATTATAAAGGTATCTTAAAGAATGCATCCTATACTTAAGTGGATGATGAAAATTTTCATGTTTCTGCCATTGTTGTATTGTAGTGAGAATAGTCGAGAATGGCATCTTTACATCATTACCAATGCACGTTTCAGAACCATATATATTAATATTGATTAACTCTTCAATATGTTGTTTATCCCTATTAGTCAAAGTTGAATCTTGTGCATCATTTTTCAACCATTTAGAAATATTCGATAATAATCGATCGACCGTATCGGAAGATAAATGCTCTGGAATTGGTATGACACATAAAATTTCAAAACCCCATATAATATGTGTGATCATATGTGTAGCATTAGTTGAAACGGATGGTGTTGAAATAAGTCGATGTAATTTTCCTCGCTCAATATTTAATATTTCTTCTTTACTTTTGTAGGAATAATAAAGAAAACGAGTATTTTTATCGATAGTTTGTTTGCAAGTGATTAGAGAACTGACTCCTGATGTTTTAACCATTCCAAAAAGAATACTAAGTTGAAGAGCATTATCGAAGTCCATCTTTTTCAAATAATCAATCATGTCAAGAGACTCATCACCAGCGAATACAGCACATTCAGAAAGTTTTAATGATTGAGTTTTAGACGATTGAATAGAATAGGCATTGATTAAATTATCAGTTGAAACATCATATAATGAGCCTAGTCGACCACCAACATCGATAGCTTTTCGTTCAATTAAGTCTGAATCTGACGTCATTCTACAATAAAATTGTAGAATTAATGATAACATAATCATCCTATTCTTCTTCAAATAAAACGAAAAATCTCTACTTACATTTATTATTAATTGTCTTTTATAATACAACGCACTGTTTTTGGTTTATTCGAAAAATGAATGTCTACCGTATTTCTAGATGAAAAGAATAAGAAGAAAAAATGTTTTGTCAATAATGGTGAAAAAGCCAAATTTGTTCTCTTTTTCTTTTATGTTGATTCATCACGCTCATGTTATAATATAAAATAACCAGAGATTTTGAAATTCTTTCACATTTATACTCATACAATTTTACTGGAGAAAACATTCATTTTTTTCAGCAAAACAAAATATCTATGATAGCACAGTAAATAAAATATCAACTACAGTTCTTTACTTTATCTGTTTCAACATAACGACAACATAAGATAACCACACATGTGTGTTTTTTTTTCTTCACTTCCGAAACAAAAGAAAAAAAAAACGTGCCAACAAATTTTTGTATTGAATGAATGTAACAGACATATTTTACCTTCGAAAAATGAATCTCAATATTACAATTCTCTAAAAAAATATTTTATTTCTTTTCAACATGATTCATACAATATATCTTCGGTAAAATTAAAATGTTACTTGTTTTTCTGATTCATTTATATATTGTTCCTGTGCTTGTTTGATAACACTCATTTGTTCATTAACCGTACTATCTTTACTAATATTTTTTATTTGTTTGTATACTTCTGGTAGTGTTATATGCTTTCGACTTGACAATGAATCAGACCAAACTTTTTCGTATTCTTCTCGAAATTGTTTGAGTTGGTTGTACAAATATATATTGGTACCATTTTGTTTATTTTTCAAACAAATACGTTTTTCTTCAGCAATTATTCGATTAATAGCATCAAGGATTGGATCTGATGTTTTCGGAATAAGTACAATATACCTGAAAAATTCTGCAAATTTTATAGTCGATTGCCAAAGTTCATCCAAACTATCTTTTGTTTCATCAAAAGATGGTTTTTTCTTATCATCCCAAGTTTTATATTCAAGTACATAGCGTAGTTTTGTATGTTTTGAAATATCACATTCACATGTATCACATTTCTCTGAAAGACGATGTAATACATCAAATAAAATCCAAAATTCACAATGAAGTACAGGAAAACGTTCACATTGTAGACAAATAGTTGCAGTTTTAGGAGTCGGTTTTGGATGTAACTGTATTAATGATTTTGATGGATCTTTTTGTAATAATACAGCATTTCGTATATTATTTCTTATTGTTTCTAATGTTGGACGAATCATTTGATTAATTAGATAATATGCATGTTCAGCAGATTGCCAATCACTTTCTGTATAGGGTTTAAGATTATTGGATATATAATCAAGAAGACGAACTGTTTCATCGACTGATTTCATCCAACTACGTTTATATTCTTCTCTTTGATAATCATCAAATTTAACTTTTTTTTTAAGACCAATTAAATATCTCAATGCTTCATTATCAAAACAGAATGTATTTGCTTTCTTCAATGAAATATTCTTGATATGATGTGATGCAAGCATCTTTTTCATTACAGGTCCAGTATTACCAGGTGCAAAAAATGTTGCGCGTGTATTTGTAAAACAAAAGATAATATTATTACGAATATTTTCACCTAAATATCCTACCAATCGAGTAAAATATGAACGAAATACAATATTTAATCTTGATTCATTTGGCTTGAGAAAAATACAAACAGCATTTAAATGTGATAGATTAGTAATAAATGATAGAATATGTTGAAGATTAACATCATCTTGATTAAATCCACGAGTATCACCCATTCCAGGTGTATCAATGAATCGAATTTTTGTTCGTTTACCAATAGGAAAAATATATGATCTACATTGTTGAGTAAATGATTGTCCTGGATGAAAATGATCTTCATTGAGATCTAGATCTCCGTATTGAATATGACGTTCATTAAATTCATCACCAACAGTGAGAGTAAATGCAACAGGTATTAAAGCTATAGGTTGACCATTCCGAGCTTTTTCGATAGTATCAAACTGAAAATAGTTCATAATGGCATTGATAAATGTTGATTTTCCAACACCACATTCACCTAAAAGAAGTATGTTAATATACCTATCGCTCGTTAGTTTTGATTCATTCAGAGTTAATCTATCGTATAATGATTCTACAGCACTGAAAGTTTGATCTTCCCATATACTTTTTTGTCGTATAACGATACTTTCCAATGATAAAGTTTTTGCTTGTGGTAAATAATATGAACAAAATGTAAAATCAGCATAAACTAAAGTGTTAGTTTTCTGTTCATCGATTGATTGTTTAAGAAGATTATTCCATAGTGTTGAAGGTTGTTTTTCTACTTTATCATCACAGCAAAAAATACGTTTTTGCTTGCCTCTGGTCAATAGTTTTTTCTCAATTCTTTGTTGATTAATATCGTCATCTGCAATAATATCTTTGACATTCCAATATACGATATCTTGTTCATTTAAACTATCGATTAGTTCTACTTTCTCGATAAGTAAATCAAGTAGTTCAGCAGCATCACGAGTCTTTTGCAATAATATTTTATCATCAGTTTCGACTAATGGTTCGGTTATTGTCTTCTGATCTATATCTCCGCGACGAATTTTTGAAATCCATCCAAACATTCTAATCATTCTCGTTTTAAATAATTCTTCTGTATTTGTTGGTTGTTGTTGAATTTCTGCATATTCATCTTTGAAATATTTTAATATTGACTCTTCCGTTATCGGATTGACAGGTACTTTTAATTTTTTTCGAAAGTAAAACAATTCATATAAATATCGATACATAGTTGGTTGATTCAATTGAATATAATTAGATTTCTCAGGTGGATATGATGGGCAAAGTGTTGTTATCGGTCGAAGAGTATACTCTAATGGAGGATGTTGAGGAATATTGGATTGTATATTAATTATTTTTTGACAAACTTGAGCTAATTTTGTTGAGTTTGCAATATCAGATACATTAGAAAAAACTTTCATATTACTAAATTGACGAAATAAATCATTATCTGCGTCAATATTAAAACTATGTGTAGTTAATTGTTTTCGTATGGTGCCAAGTAGATCATCAAGATCAGA